GTCAAACGTCCAAGTCTGGAAGAGGTACCAGTCCAGATTTAACATACATTCTGTTCTTCATTCGCCTTTGTTTTCATTTATTATAAGGTTGACAGTTGCTTGTCGTTTTGCCTGATTTCCACTGTAATTTGTTTTGATTCACAATATAAATATTCGCGCATTGATGTCTAGATTTTCGTTTAGCATATCGTACGACGCGCGATATACAGCATTGACTACCAAATCGTATTTTAAGTATATTGTTGATTGTTTTGCCTGTTTGGACTTATTTTGACTCAGTGTTGATAATCCAAGTTTATTTCCTCATCTTTGTCATTGCACCTCGTGTTTCATTGTCATAGTGTGCCTGGGCAGTCTGCCGTATTCGAATTTCATTTTTTCGAACTGATTAAACTGTTTGTAGCTATTCTCGGTTTCATTTGCACTACGGTACTGCGCTTAATTCAGTATGACATTTACTAGGGGTAAAAAGCTCAGTAAAAGCGGCAATTTAGTGTTTAAAATTTCACCTTAACACGCCCTTTGTTAAAGTAATTGCGACGTGATCGTGTGACACATATTGCACAAATTTCAACGCTTTTGTAATATTTTTTAACAATTGTACAGTTTTGCCAATCCTGTTCTTAATGATATTTGGTTCAATTTGTTTTTAATGCCCGCAGCAATCCCTACCTTGCAGGTAACCTAGTTTGTCTTATAATTCTGCGTAACTCTAGTTTTGTCAGTCATTGCCACTTTCTCATAATTTCAAATTCAACCAATGATTAAGTTCATCTAAATTTTCTATCAACCGATACCGCGAAATACAAATATCTTGGAATTGCAGACTCATTTCTCCTGTCCCCATTTCTCCCTTTTAAGCGTGAAAGACTTGGCCAGAAACCGCCGACATGGAATATACGGATTGCCGTAACTAATCTATGAACGCATTAGAAACTGACTCTAGAGTCTCCAAGCCCTGCGAAAGGCAGGTAAGTGACGATGGCTGCAGATGAGGTTGGATTGAATTTCTATGTTATAACGGCTAATTGTGTGGCATGCATGCAATAAATGCGACGGCACATATACGACTCTTGGTAAAGCGATAAGCACATCGGAGCTATAGCTCCTCGTTTGAACTTCAAAATCTGCACGCACATGCAATCGAGAAAAATTTGAGGATGATAAAATTTGGATTCCCTATAAATATAGATGGTCTAAATTTCGTCCGTTCCATTTTGCCAAGATTTTTTATACTCGCGGCCTGTCGAGCGCGAAAGAGATTATTGAAGTTAGCGGAAGTTTGAAATTCTAAACAAGCCAATCAGAGTTTCTGTAGTTAGAGCAAACCGTTGTTCCGTGTTTTCTTTAACTTGTCTATCGTTTACAACTTATGCGGAAAATTTCCCGACGCTAAAAAAAATCTGCCCGAAGTGACATTGGAAACTTTTTCGTCCGTTTTAATTTAACAATCAAAATGAAATAGAGTTATTGCGTATGCTACTAATAGTAAAAATACATCCAATTGATTAGACTTATAAAAGTTATAATTATTATTCAAATGAAACATAATTGCCAATTACCTGTACTTTATTGCAAATGACCCGCACTTAGCAACTATATTAGACATGAAACGGCGCAATTTGCCCAAACCAACTTTGAATCGCGATAAAGACCCTGCACTAAAGGGTTGGCTTCGGCACTATGACCAATATTTTCTGCATGATGGCATTCTCTATAGAGCTCTTGGTAACCGACAGGCGTCGCATAACCATCCGAGCAATGTCATATTGATTCCCTCCAACCTCCAAGCAAACATCCTGAAAACACTGCATGATGGGCCACTCGGGGGACAATTAGGTATCACTTGCACAGAGGAACGCGTCCGAAGAAAATTTTACTGGCCTGGTATTCGTCAAACGGTTTCCGAACATATCCAAACGTGCAACGTTTGTAATCAAAATAACTCCCCAAATAGCAAAAACTCGGCGCCATTAGGCCACATTTCAGTCGATCAACCTTTCACTTTCTGGGCAATGGATTACATGGGACCGTTGCCAGAGACCAGTCGAAGGAACAAACACATTTTAGTTTTTGTCGATCATTTCACCAATTGATGTGAAGCGTTTGCAACACCCGATCAAAAAGCCAGCACAGTTGCGCCACTCCTAGTCTGTCGCATTTTCTCCAGGTTTGGCCCCCAGCAGTCTTGCATTCAGACCATGGCAGAAATTTTGAGAGCACGCTGCTGCATGAAGTATGTAATTTTATAGGTATTACGAAAACGCGCACTACTAGCTACCATCTTCAGTGTGACGGACAGACAGAGCGCCAAAACCGCACAATTCAGGCTATGCTTTCCTCCTTTGTTTCTAATAGGCGAGATGATTAGGACTTGTGGCTGGATTCAGTCACGTTCGCTTACAATACTAGCAGACACGATGCACTAGGCATATCTCCGTATGAGGTAGTTTTTGCCCAATTACATAGGCTGCCAGTTGAATTGGAAATAGGCATGCCGCTAACAACACCATTCACCCAGAGCGAATATTTACAATCAGTTAGGTCAGCATTTCATGATATTAGACGCATAGCAGAGGAACATTTATCAAAAGCATCGGAAAAACAGGCAAGGCTCAATCAACCGACAACTACTTGGCGGCCTTTCAAATCAGGCGAAACAGTCATGTTGAAAAGACAGAAAGGCTGGAAGTTCGGACCTAGATGGGTGGGGCCTTATAAAATCCTAAAACGAGCTGGGGTGGACTTTCGTATTGTTTCAAAGGGAGCCAAAGTGATGGTCGTTCACTACGACCAGTTTAAGCGCAGTTTTATCCCGTTTCAAGAGGGCGAACCGGTTTGCCCTAGTAGGGAAGTAGGTGAGTTCAAGGTGGTTGATGTTACACCCCAACAAGAATTGACGGATTTCCTCGTGCTCGACCTGCCAGACTTAGTGACAAAACATTAATCCGCCATTAAGATACGGATTTGATTGAAAGCATGTCCTCGGGACGAGAACATAAGGAGGAGGATGGTGTAACGGATATCGCCATATCGGATAATGGATTAACTGTAAATATAGACTAACCTAATGGAATAAGGAAAAGCAAGTTGCCGCGGATGCACCATTGTAAGTGCTTCCGCGATTAATATATAAATATAGCAATTAATAATAGAAAATAGCAATATAGATAATTAAAGGAAGCTAACATGACCTATAGAACGAGAGTATAAATAACAATGTTTATTTTATATTTTGACATAGGTAATTGGAACCATATTGTAGTTCTTATATAGTTATAAGTTAATTTGTAACAATTGTCTGAATTAAACAAACTAGAGAAAAAAATAGGACGTTGTGTGTATGTGGGCTAAAGGGGAACATAATAAGTAATTTGTTCAATAGTTAATTGCGAATTGAGGGGCGTAGGAATTGAGGGGAGTATAAATAAAAAATGTAAAATATGAATAAGAGAGTTGGATCTACCCTGTTGTGTGTGTATGTGAAGTAAGCTCGGCTCGTTACATAAAGATGGTCCAAATTTCATCTGTACCAAATTTATCCGTGCCAAACCCCTGCGACATGTCGAGTGCGAAATAGATTGTTGAACAGCAAACCACCCAGGCCAGCACCAGTCTGCGAACAAACAACACCACAGGCCCACATCACGACAAGTAGCTTTAAGTTGCAGGGTTCACACTTGTCGTACAAATCTGGGATTCCCTTTGTGCGAGCTAGGACGTTCACTGCATTGTGCGCGTAATCCTTTGTCTGTCGGAAAACATGCAATACAATGGATCCCCAAATCTTTGGACAAGAGCGAACCAGGTTTACTTATCCACCGCTAATAATTTATCAGCGCAAATCTAATTTAATCAAATCTAATTATAAATGCGATGATGTTCAAAAGAAAATAGTTTGTCTGATGTCGTTCCAACCTTCCCATTCCGCACCGTCTCTGCAAAAATATATTACGTATACCGATCCAACGTGTTAGTAATTTAAACGACTACCTAACCAGTTGATTTATACGTTCCGATTACGATACCATAATTAAAAAAAAAATTACCAAGTTCTTTTAACAATATTTCAGTACTAACAGCAAAATACCTCCTCAAAACTCCATAAGTATAAACACAGAACCAACTACACTAACAGATAATTTCAGCTTGCATGCAAATTTGCCCATTTGAGATGTTGCAACCATGGATTAGCCAATAAAACTTAACTATTTCAGACCATGTGATTTGAAATGGGTTAATTTGCATACAAGTTGAAAAGGTCTTTAAACACACGCCTCCAGCGAAAGGGATATATATGACTGTCAAAACAATATCTCAGGAAATGACTACTTAGAATAACCTTGATTTGCATGACACCGCGGAAATTGGTATAGGCTTAGCCGCAATTCTCGATACTTAGACTTCAAACTTGGTGAGGAAAAAGATTTATAAATATTCAAGAAAATATGTCTTGCGCAAAAGATTTGAAGCTTGCTCACGGTAAAAACGAATCGTCTGAATTAATAACCTTGTGTATACTTTAAGCCTCAAAATGGCCATTTCACAGCGGTCAGATGTGTATGATGAGCTGTCAAAAGATTGCAGAATGCGTATTCAGAAGAAAAATTGAACTTTTTTAAGATATTCAAAAGGTTTCTCTTTGATAGGGCGATACAGAAATGCACAATTGTGAACCAGCGACTAGATTTTCGGGTTGAAACGTCTTAAACACCAATTTCTGCGGTGTCGATTTGCATAGCATAAAAAATCGACAGGCTGGCTACGCCACTGGATCTCGCAGTGTCATCTGCATTAGACCGCGCGGTGATCGTACGTTTGTGTTACGTTGCGGTATATGACTTGACACACTAAAAAAGCGCGAACTTTATACTAGTCTGAAGATGGCGTGAAACTGATTGTTGGCCTATTCTATACCATGCAAATATTTAGCCTCCGCCTTCCGGTTATTACACTTCCTGATTTTCTGGTCGACTTGTTACATGCAGCTAATATAAACACTCAGTTGTGTTGCCCAAGACGATGGAATCCGATGCAAAAGCTTACGAAGAACTGAACCAACCGCAATACGAAGCTGGTTGTAAGTTTATTGATGAAGTGAATCTCTCCCCCGGGGCCAAAGTGCTTGATATGGGCTGTGGTACGGGAAATATCACCAAATACATCGCTGATATTGTTGGGTCTTGTGGTCAGACGGTGGGAATTGATCCTGATGTTGAGAGAATCAAAATAGCTCAAGAGAAATATCAAAAAGTTAATAATCTTCAGTTTCATGTTGCTGATAGTGTGACTGGATTCCCAAACGATAATTCGCCATACTATGACGTTCATGTAACAATGAATGCATTTCACTGGTTTCCACACGAGCATAAGAAGATGTACATATGTAACGGGCCGAGCTGTCTGAGACACACACACGTTCGATCCAGTTTCTAAGTGTCTTTTATTTCATCCTCGTGCTCCCTATATACATGTGCTCAAGACTCTCATATTTCTAATTACAATAGTGCACTGTTACTTTATCTAATTACAATAGTGCACTGTCACATTATCTCATCACAATAGGTGCACTGTTACATTTTCCCCTCACTTAAGTTTTCGTCCCCGAAAACAACATATTTTTACATAGTCGACGATTTAGCTAATCGTAAGCATAACGTTCGGGAGGACGTATGTTTTGCCGAAGTTGATAACGTTGGGGGTCACCTCTAGGCCTACGGGGAGGTGGTTGTAACACGGGGTGCTCGGGCAATGCGTGAACCACTGCGAAATCACCCGACTCACGACCAGGAGCAACGATTCGGCCGCTATCCAGTGGTATATAGCCTGTCTTAAGGTTGTCGTGGTGAACTACCATAACTTTTCCATCATTCGAGCTAACTCGATAGGTCGTCCCCATTCTCTTCACTACCTTATACGGCCCTATCCACTTCCTACCGAACTTACCTTTCTTTGGGCGTTTCACCCAAACGGTCTGACCTACTGCATGCGGCTTCCAGTTCTTATTGTCGTGATTTGAACACCTGGTTGACCTTACCTTGTCTAAGTGCTCTCTAGCTAGCTGCCTAACATTCTTAAGGTTATTGCGGACTTTCTGTGCGTACTCTGGTTGAGTGCTTGGATTCCCAGTCGTTACACCGAATTCTAATTCCAGAGGCATGCGAGGTGTATGGTGGCCCAGAGCTGCCATAGGTGATTTTACTTTTTAACACAATTTTAAAAAATATAATTTATTTAAAAAAAAATTGTTTTAAAATTAAAACAAATTGAAAACATTTTCAAACAAAACTAAAACAGGAAAAAAAATAAAAGCCAATCAATTTAAATACTTGACTGGCCCACAGCTGCCATAAGATTTTTTTTTAAAAAAAAATCAAAAATTGGCCCACAGATGCCATAAGATTTTTTTTTAAAAAAATCAAAAATTGGCCCACAGCTGCCATAGACCAGCATGCGCTGTGCAGGGATTAACACATTTATAAACAAAATTACACCAAGTACGAACGAGACAAACAGGCAATATGGCGGCCAGAATACGGAACGATAATTGGAAAGACGATGAAACATTGAAGGAAGATCTTGAAAAATATGCTCGAAGTAATCTTACACGAAAGGAGATATTGGATTTCATGAACCGTGACCATGGCGAATACGCATGGAGTTTGAGGACGCTCGATCGACGTTTGGCTTTTTTTGATATTCGACGCATAGACAAAAACGTTACAGTTGAAGAGATAAGAGCAGCAGTAGAGAACGAAGTTAACGGTCCTGGTAAACTCTTGGGGTACAGAGCGATGTACAACAAAATAAGACAGGATTATAATTTAAAGGTTCCACGCAATTTAGTGCATGCAGTCATGTTTGATGTTGACCCCGATGGCCTTGAAGCGCGTAACCCAAATGCACGATGGGAGAGAAGACCTAAAGGCAACTACACGACAAAAGGTACAAATTTTGTTCACTCCATGGATGGCCACGACAAATTAATGGGGTATCAGAATAGTACTTTCCCCCTAGCCATTTACGGTGCAATTGATACTGCGAGTAGAAAAATCCTATGGTTACGAATTTGGGATAGTAACTCCGACCCAAAGAGAATTGGACGGTGGTATTTAGAGTACCTTTATGAGAAGAAAAGGATTGCCACCATGATAAGGATTGATAAGGGCACAGAGACTGGAATAATGGCAACTATTCACTCGTTCCTTAGACAGCACCATGGTGACATGGCCCCTTATGATACAGTGCTTTATGGGCCTTCCACATCAAACCAGGTAATGTTTCTTTATATTTGAACAAAATATCCAAAGCCCTGGTCAAAGGAAATGCTGACAACAAGTGAGACATGTAAATGAGAATGTTTTATAACACACAGTTGCATTATGGAAGCAGTTTAACCTCTTTGAAAAATTCATCAATTTCCACATAAAATATTGTTTGTTTAACTTCTTATCTAGGACTCTTTACATAACAATAATATTTTACACCTAATGTAGATTGAGCGATGGTGGAAGGAACTGCATGAACGTATGGAGAAATATTTCAAGGTGCAACTGTCAATGTTGAAGAATGATGGTGACTATGATCCAGATAATGAGCTTCACAGGTAGGTAGTGACAACAACCTAGCTAATATATGCTAAGGAAAAAGTCCTCAAAATAACTTCCTTTTTGGTTTCAGAAAACTGCTGTCATTTATTTTAATCCCTGTTGTGCAACGTGAACTTGATGATTTCAAAAAAATTGTGTGGAATAGTCATAGAATCCGACACCAGAAAGACACCTTGCTACCTGATGGGATCCCTGATCACATCCATGCTTTTCCACAAGAGTATGGGCTAGAAGAATGTGGTAAATATTAATCATATTATTTCCAACTACAAATTATTTTCATTATATATGATTGTACCTTTTCAATAATACCATTGATCAATGGTTCAGATATCCATAACATGAATTTATATTTTGATGCAGGTTTTCATGTAACAGAGGACCAATTAGCTGAAGTGGCTCAACATTCTGGAGTATTAGATCTCGAAAATGATTTCCTCTCACCAGAAATGCGACAGCAGTGTGAGACAATCATACCATATCCAGAGAAAATTGAATCATCAGATTGTGCAAAAGCATTCTTATATCTGAAAAGACGTTACTCTGAAGAGAGTTAATTAACACATCTGATGTGACATAAACAAAGAATAAAATCTAAAATTTGTTAAGGGCAAGGATCAGAGACAAGATGAATTATACAAACCACAAGTTTATTTTAGTTAAAGTGAAATATTCTGTTTTTAACATTAAATCAACTGAACAAACTCAGCATATGTAAACAATTTTTGACCTAATTATATATAGAAAACCCCACAAGTTTAACTATCAATTCAAGTTAATTATCCATCCTCTACAATATATAACTTCTTATTTGTGAACTAGCTTTTTCTGAGACATAACTTTTTCTGAGATTTTTCTTTTTTTGAGATTTTTCTTTAAGCATTCTGTATTAGAACATTATTAAAACATTTTGTTTAAATGCATATTACATAGTGGGGTATTCTATAGTTATTCCACTTTCTTTGAACAAAATATGAATATAGCTTTCACCCAGAAAACTATTTACACAACTGCTGATATTCTTAGTACAAAAGTTTAAAATATTGTCAGGTCTTAACTATAACAGCAACCAAGATAAGTTAAAAAGATTTGTTCAACTGTAGTGTTCAAGACGTGTTTAAAGTTCTGTTAGACCAGCAGATTTACAGTACTTATTACAACTATGATCATTCACAAAGTTTGTAATTGCAATCTTTGATAAGTTACCACTGCAAAATAGCATCTCACAATCCTGATCAAATAGATCAGATGTTGCTATTTCTGGATCATAAAGGGTGTGGTCAGATCCTTGTATGTCGAGAATAATTAATTTCCTGTCAGACTTCTGATAGGAAAAATGAGCCAGGCAGCCTGCTTTTTGGCTAACATCAGACTCCTCAACACATGAAATGCCATCATTGTTTATGTACTTCATAAAGTCTCCACTGACATATTCTTCAACACTGACATACTGGTTGTCATCTGTTACACCAAAAAATACCTTATTGTACTTAAGAGGAGTTTTATACACACTTGATTCCATTGTTTTCTCAAGCTGAATGGCAAAATTTCGTGCCAGCATGTGCATTTGAACTGTTTTCTTAGTGTGGGACTCCAAGCTCTGGTTAGCTTCTTCAATATCTTTCTCTGCTTTAGGTAGGTAGTATTTGACAACCCACTTAGAGTAGACAAATTGGGGGTGGGTGGTTGTTGCTTTACGTGCCTCACGGAATGCCCCAATTCCTAGTGGCTCTTCTTCAACAACAAATTCAACAGTAGTGGGAACTACGTTCCAAGCCATTAATTCAATGTTAAAGGAATGTAATGTGATCACAGTTGTGCTTTTCTTGTCAAGAACTTTGCCCATCTTTAACATTTCTAATACTGAAAGACTTTTAGGAAAACACTGGCTTTTGACAGGCGATGGATTCTTTTTAAGCTGTGCATATGACATTGATTTTGCTGCATCTTTAGCGACGCGTACTTTCCTCGGTTGATTGACCTCGGCAGGTTGGGTATCTTGTATGTCATTGTATACTTCCTCTTCATCGCATTTGATGAAGCGAACATGGACGAGCTTGGAGACATTCGGCACTTGGTCCATTGTTTTGCAAGAAGGCCCTTGCTCGCCTGCCAGGACGTCACAGCGAAGATCCCCTGATATATTGAAATGTTTTTCACACGCTAACTTGATGTTATCCAGGCTCATGTCTTCTTCGGGATCAAAGGGCACAAATTCACGTGGTCCAATTCTACTAAACTTTTGAGCTTTACCAGAAACCTCTGCGCTTAGTCTCTGGACAATCAGCTCGGATTTCTTTAATCGTTTAGTATCTTTCGTCGTTTTGTTTTGCCGTTTTCGCTTCATTTCATCTTTAAATGCATGCCATGCGTTGTCCTTAGCAGCCATTTTGGCCAGTGAATGTGTTATAATTTTGGTGTAATTTTGTTTATAAATGTGTTAATCCCTGCGCAGCGCATGCTGGTCTATGGCAGCTGTGGGCCAATTTTTGATTTAAAAAAAAATCTTATGGCAGCTGTGGGCCAATTTTTGATTTTTCCAAAAAAAATCTTATGGCAGCTGTGGGCCAATTTTTGATTTTTTTTTAAAAAAAAATCTTATGGCAGCTGTGGGCCAGTCAAGTATTTAAATTGATTGGCTTTTATTTTTTTTCCTGTTTTATTTTGTTTGAAAATGTTTTCAATTTGTTTTAATTTTTAAACAATTTTTTTTAAAATAAATTATATTTTTTAAAATTGTGTTAAAAAGTAAAATCAACTATGGCAGCTCTGGGCCACCATAGAGGTGTTTTTCCGAATACGAGTTCGTACGGGGAGAGCCCAGTAGATTCATGTTTGCTTGTATTATAGGCAAAGAGAACGGGATCTAGCCAAACATCCCAATCGTCAGCATTGTTAGACACATAATGCGCAAGCATATCTTGTAGCGTGCGATTCTGTCGCTCCACTTGGCCATCCCCGGAAGGGTGGTATGCTGTGGTTCGTGTTTTCGTTATCCCCATAATGTTACAAATTTCGTGCATTAAGATACTTTCAAAGTTTGACCCTTGGTCTGAGTGCAGCACGAGCGGCGGTCCAAAACGCGAGAATACTTTGGATATTAAACAGTCGGCCACGGTTGAGGCCTTTTGATCTTTCGTAGGGAACGCCTCGCACCATTTGGTAAAATGGTCCATGATAACGAGTATATTTATTCCCCTCGCGGTCTCCCGATATGGGGCCCATGTAATCTAATGCCCAAAATGTAAAAGGCTCACTAACACTGATCGTTTTCATAGGCGCTTTATCTGGATTCGAAGGTGATTTGCGGCGCTGGCAAGATACGCAATGTTGGATATGGGCTTGCACAGAGGCACGCAGATTTGCCCAATAAAATCTTTCGCGAATACGCTGTTCGGTTCGTGCTGAGCCGAGATGACCGCACGACGGACTATCATGCATACCGTCGAGTATCTTAGGCACTATGGATTGTGGAATCACAATGGCGTGATCAGGATATGTGTACTGGTTGTGGCGAGATCGTACTAGTAAACCATTATGTATAAATAAGCGATCGTAATTATGCCAAAAATTTTTCAGAACTGGGTCAATGCTCCACTCCTTGAAATCTGGGCGTGGTTTCTTGTGCATCTTAAATTCCAAAACTTTCGAGATATTGCTGTCCTGCCGTTGTGCTTCATGTAGGTTTATAGTTGGGCTTACAGTAATTGAGTTAATTTTTTCATGCCTAAAGACAGGTGTATTCTCAGTTGCTTGTGTTTGCGGTTGGAAAGCGCGCGCGTGTGGGTTGAGTAATTTGTTTGTAGTGCATTTTTGCGGCAATGTGATAAAATCGATAGCGCGTGCACAACTAGCCCAAAGCATGAAAAGGAGCCCAAGCACATAGATAACAGGCGCTGTTATGAGACGCTTTGCCGTCGCTTTCCATTCAGTTAGCATTGAAGGAATCGTGTGGATAGCGGAAGTTTGACATGTTTCCTCGCATTTCTTAGCTACTAGGCGTGATAAGACATCTGCATTCAAATGCGATTTACCCGGTCGATGTTGAACCACAAATTCGAACTCTTGCAAATCCATTAGCCATCTGGCTAAACGCCCTTTCGGCTCGATGGAATTTAGCCAACGAAGTGCATTATGATCAGTAATTATTCTGAATTTGCGCCCTAAGAGGTATAGACGAAAGTGTTGGGTGCCGTAATGAATTGCCAACGCTTCTTTTTCAGTGGTCGCATAATTGCGTTCCCGTTGCGTCAGACTGCGAGAGCCGTATGCGATGACTCTTTCTATACCATTGTCATCGTGCTGGGCAAGTACAATACCTAAACCAACATCTGATGCGTCCGTGTAAAGAGTAAACTCGCGATCGAATTTTGGGTAAGCTAATAAGGGTGCGGAACAGAGCTGACGTTTAATTTCCTTAAAAGATATTTCGCACTCGTTCGACCAATCAAAAGGTGTTCTGGCGGCTTCTTTTGTTGTAAGTTTAGTTAGAGGCGCGGCGACTGTTGCAAAATTCGCAATAAAGCGGCGATAGTAACTGGCGAGTCCTAAAAAACTACGCAACTCTGTTATACATGTTGGCGCACTGATGTTCTGTACTGCCTCGACTTTCTGTGGGTCAGGGCTGATGCCGTCTTTAGAAATGACATGACCTAAGAATGCAACCCTAGTTTCCGCAAACCGACATTTTTCCAACTTAACGCGCAAGTTGTGCTGCCGAAACCTGTCAAGGACTGCTCTCAATCTGTCATTGTGTTCGCCAAGGTTGCGCCCAAAGCAAATAACATCATCAAGATAACATAAACATATTTCGAACGTGAGACCTGCTAAGACTATTTCCATAGCACGCTGAAAAGTTGCCGGAGCCGTTTTTAAGCCAAAACTCATGCGGTTAAACTCAAACAGACCCGAGCTTGTCACGAAAGCCGTTTTTGGCCGATCACGGGGGTCAACGTTAATTTGCCAGTACCCGCTGCGTAGATCTAATGTTGAAAAATATGTTGCGTCGCCCAAAGAATCTAGTATGTCCGCAATGTTTGGAATTGGATGCGAGTCGTTGAGTGTTACTTCGTTTAATTTCCGATAATCTACACAAAAACGTAGTTCCCCTGACCGCTTTTTAACTAACACAATAGGGCTTGCCCATGGGCTGGTACTAGGACTTATAATACCTTGTGCTAACATATCTTTGATTTGTCTGTCAGCCTCTTCTCGATACGCGTACGGCAAACGGCGAGGGCGATGTTTAATGGGGTTAGAGTTACCTGTATCGATGTTATGTGTCACTACATTTGTGTGCCCTAATGTAGCCTCAAACACATCTTCGAACTCGGATAGGACTTCAAGAACACAGCTTTTATCGGCCTGATTTAAATTAGAATTTACAACACCTTCAAATTTGTTTGTTTCGCCCTTTCCGTTATTTGCCTTAATACCACAGCTTGCGCTACTTATTTTGCTGTGAGATTGGACTAGAGGGCTAAATGCTGCGATTTTGGTACCGAATTTTAGCTCGCTAGGTTCGCTATGTGCGTTCATGACTCGTAAAACAATGTTTCTACCTTGCGGGCAGACTACTGTATGTGCCACATGAATGTCGTTACCTGACTCGCTCTTTAGAGGCGCTATCATGCCTATTTCTGTCTGTGCTGATTTTACTAATCTACCCTCTACAATCATCTCAGATCTCGCGGGCACGACAACATTTTGGTCTAAAACTACGGCAATTTCGGCTTTCATACGAGACTGGATAAGGAAAGTTGAATCGTTCTCCACGCATGTTTTGGGCGTTTCGCCAGAAGGGTCACCACTTGCCTCAGTCACTCCAGATATCAGTCCACCATTGGAAAGGGGTGATAAAAGAACTTCAGTCCGCCCGTGAGACCCCGTTAAGTAATAGGGGCTAGACCCACTGCGAATATCCCCCTGTAGACTCAACCTATTTGCTTCGAGGAAGTCCCACCCCAACACACAGTCGTAACTGATGTTGTCGCTAACAAGAAGACGTCCTTTGTACGCTCGCTTACTTTTGGGGAACGTTATGTTTGTGTCGAGGCACCCAAGGATATTTAAACTACCGCCGGTGATGGATACGCAACGTTCTGCGACAGTAGTGTTAATTAATTTACTATCAAAGTCAATAATCCTGTGTAAAGTATGGCTTATAAATGTTCTCATGGAACCAGTGTCAATAAGTGCATGAACTTCAACATTATTTACAAAACATTTAACATATGGTTGTGTGGATAATGAAACATTGAAGGTATTAAAACTTACCCCAGGGCGATCTTTGATCCCACTTATCGTATCGCCCGCTGGGAGTTTAAACGATTCGCACAGTCTTTGGCAAAATGTCCGTATCCCTGGCATTCATAACATCTGTTTGTGGAATCAAACGTCTGGCTTTGCTGTTGTGGATTGTGCCAACAGTCCCTGGCGATGTGGCCCATTTTCTTGCAGACAAAACATTTTCTGTTGCTTCGATCTTTCGTTTGCGCCGATAGATCATCTCGTTTATTCCGCGATAACTTCTCCTCCAGATTCTTTTGTCGTACGGCGATGTCGGACACCAGCGCCACCAATTTGGTCATTTCTTCACCACTCTTTTCGCTTGCCACACCAGCACTCTGCGTCACATTCCCTTGGTCGTTAAATTCCTGAATTGCCCTGTACCGTTGAACAAATGACACCATTTTTTTCAGATCTGGCGTAGGGTCACTCTCTAGCAACTTCATTCGAATGTTTTTGGGTAAACCTTTCATGAACTGCCTCGTTAACAACGCGGTTTTCGCTCCGGCATCAATATCTGGTTGAGCTTTCGATAAAATTTGCTCCAACTCCCACTTGTACACCGTCGGGTCCTCGCCTGGCTTTAAAAGTCTCGCTTCGAACTCGGCGAAGTACACTTCTTTACACGCCGCAGGACACATGGTCTCTTTTAGGGCTTTCGTAACAGCGTCATATGTTTCACGAGCTTCCTCGTCCAGTGCGTAAAAATGGCTCGCTGCTTCGCCCCGGAGAAAAGCTGGGAATTTCTTGATTTTCGCATCTGCGTTCCACCCATTTGCCTCAGCGCAAGCATCAAATTCGCGCAGCCAAATTGTTAAATCTCCCCGCTCAAACTTCGAGGGAAGAATTGCTGTAGACATCTCTATAAACCGTTCTTTAAATCGCACCGCTGCTCACCAAATTGTAACGGGCCGAGCTGTCTGAGACACACACACGTTCGATCCAGTTTCTAAGTGTCTTTTATTTCATCCTCGTGCTCCCTATATACATGTGCTCAAGACTCTCATATTTCTAATTACAATAGTGCACTGTTACTTTATCTAATTACAATAGTGCACTGTCACATTATCTCATCACAATAGGTGCACTGTTACACATACAGAAAGCCTACCAATCTTTGAAATCTGGAGGAAAACTGGTTATTTTGTGCACAGATAAGATAGGCGCTAAACAAACTGATCAATCCGACGTACTTGGTATCCATTATTTGACAAAAGATGAAATGAAAAAGCTATTTCATGAAATTGGTCTGTTCAGTGAAGTCGTGATAAGCCAGACCTTTCTAACAGCTAATTTCAAGTCGTATGAGATATTGAAGCGTTGGATAAAAGCATCATCCCATCATGAAATCGAGGAGTTAAATCCAGCTGATGTGAAAGAAATGATGGCTCAAATTGCTACTTTTCACGACGATGGCAGTATCGTGTTGAATGTACCGTATCTTCATATCACTGCATTTAAACAATGAAATGCATGACCGCGTTAACATTGCTCATTAAATATATTTTTAATACGTATGTGACTTCCGCCATTATTCGTAGTTTTACTCGTCTTGTGTCCACATAATTTTTATAGCTTACAGTCACACAGTCTTTGAAGAAATAGCTAATAACCATATGTTAGATTTTTGTTAGTTACTAGCTGCGAGGTCCGGTTGCGAAAAAAACTGTGCTCGAGGTCTCGCAAAACTTGTGCAATTAGATCGAACAAGGTTAATTTTCATCGTAATGAAAGACTTTATATGCTAAAAATGCGAACCTGTTAATGTTCTGCCATGCAGTGGTTCTGTGGTATAGTAGTTTAGACCTAACATATTTCACAAAATCGTTAATATATCTACAGGCTACAATAATTTATCTTCATAATTCTGCGCGGTAACTCTAGTTTTGTTCATTGCCACTTTCTCATCATTTTAAATTCAACCATGCAATGATTAAGTTCATCTAAATTTTCTATCAACCGATACCGCGAAATACAAATATCTTCGAATTGCAGACTCATTTCTCCTCTCCCCATGCATTTCTCCTTCCAGAAACCGCGGACATGGAATATACGGATTGCCGTAACTAATCTATGAACGCATTAGAAACTGACTCTATAGAGTCTCCAGGCCCTGCAAAAGGCAGGTAAATGACGATGGCTGCAGATGAGGTTGGATTGAATTTCTATGTTATAACGGTTAATTGTATGGCATGCATGCAATAGATGAGACGGCATATATGACTCTTGGTAAAGCGATAAGCACATCGGAGCTAGCTTCTCGTTTGAACTTCGAAATCTGAACGCACATGCAATCGAGAAAAAATTGAGGATGATAAAATTTGGATTCCCTATAAATATAGATGGTCTAAATTTCGTCCGTTCCATTTTGCCAACATTTTTTATACTCGCGGCCTGTCGAGCGCGAAAGAGATTATTCAAGTTAGCAGAAGTTTGAAATTCTAAACAAGCCAATCAGAGTTTCTGTAGTTAGGGCAAACCGTTGTTCCATGTTTTCTTTAACTTGTTTATCGTTTACAACTTCACGCGGAAAATTGCCCGACGTTTAAAAAAAATCTGCGCGAAGTGACATTGGAAACTTTTTCGTCCGTTTTAATTTAACAATCAAAATGAAATAGAGTTATTGCGTATGCTATTAATAGTAAAAATACATCCAATTGATTAGACTTATAAAAGTTATAATTATTATTCAAATGAAACATAATTGCCAATTACCTGTACTTTATTGCAAATTCCTAGCACAAGATAATTGAAATAAAAGTACTGTCGGAAACTCTGAATATATTTTCATAAAACATCAATAATTCCAAATATTAAAATCATATTTTATTGAATCATAAATGCTCATAATTGAGGTACATAGGACATCATTAAATATAACTCGTTTCACTTATAGAAAATGAATACATGTAGGAATTATTTAGCAAAGTGTTCTTTTCGGTGGCCAAACGGAAATATTGATTTGTTTACAGAGGCCAAGGCGGCAATTAATTACCTTCACCTATACAGCGATAACAATCACTATGAGAAATTATACAAAATTCAAATGACATAGAAATAAAATCATATTTGAGCTGACAAAGCAAGCATGGCTGCGTTTTCATGTTATATATCCAGACTTATTCTCTTCCTCGTCATCTTCAAATTCTCTGTAATAAAGTGTATTTCTGGTCAGGGTGCGGCAGAAGACTTCAATGATGCGATATTGGGCGATATTTCAGAGGATTTTAGTGATACCCATCTAAGGTTCGTGTCAGTTTTTCAAGTGTAATTATACTTTGATTTAACAATCCTTTAGTCTAAATCAACCCTGAAAAGCGTAGGTTCGATTCCTGCCGGAGGACCGATAGTTGAGTCATTTTTCCATCAACTGTTCCTGACTTGAATTTGAAGTGTGTACTGTGTATATTACCATTTGAAATTAAGTCCCTTTAAACCACTAGAGTAATCTTGCTTAGTTTAGTTACACAGCATATGATATCCAGTACACTCAAGGATGAAAACAAAAACTGAATAGTGTTATTATAATTGACTGTATGCCACTCGGAATCTGTATATAAATGTTATAGCTTCTCTTTTTGGCCTCACCATAGTGCGTTTTATAATTCATTTGACATGAATGCTGACAAGGTCGGCGGAAGATTGTTAAGTAGTGGGGGGCGACGTGATGTGCATATATTCACGTTCGACATTATTCGTTTCTTTTTGAAATTGAAATTTTTATCTGCTAACATGAATATATGGAACATTTGATCCCCCCTGCGCCGTCCTTGGCTGAAGATAAAGTTTAATGGCAAAATTAAAGTTCACAAAAAACACCAGCAAACCTTTCTCAAACCTTTTTCGGAACGCTTCCTTTACAGCAAATGTAAAATATAAAAAAATCCTTGTCAACTTTGAAAAGTGATCGTATTGAAACGTTTCAGTTTTGTGAATTCAATTATTTTATATATGTCTAAATATTATATAATTATACAGTGTGTGTATAATTTTAGACACTTGTTCCTTACGATTGATAAAAATAAAGACGGAGTTTTATCTTCTGAAGAAGTAAAAGTTTGGGTTACGAGTGTAAGGAGTAATAACGCAATAAAGATGACCAAAGAAAGAATTACTGAATATGACAGTAATAATGATGGACTAGTGTCTATGGATGAATACTTCGTATATATCTATGGTAATGCTGACAACAAAGGTATGTTTCTCCATTTTTCAATATACGGCTAGTCGGCTGCGAGTGTAATCGCCTTTGGCCTACGTCACAAAATGTGGTACAAAAATGTAATGTAATACAGTAATCCAAATGTACGAAGCAGTGATCTGACTTTTAATTAAATAAAACGTGAATAAAAAGCCTGGTATCGCGTATAAGGATTGTTTTGTTTAAGGTCTGACTGACCGCCAACAACATGCTAAATTTGTAGATTTACTTCCGACACAAGAAAACCGCGACCAAATATTACAAAGTAAAGAGCAAGTCAAAAAGCGTTGGAGGTACGCCGATTTCAATCGAGATGGGAGTCTTTCACTTGATGAATTAGCAGCGTTTGAAAACCCTGAAGATTATGAGGAAATGAAAGATTACAATGTGGAAGAAACATTCGAAAACTTGGACTCCGACAGAGATGGGAAGGTTTCTCTGAATGAATATCTTGGTAAGCAATGTGCTGAAATCTTTTTACATGAGAGAGTTTCCATAATAATAAAGTATCTTTCCGTTCTACACGTACCTGCTCTGCTTTAAGTAGTATCCCGCAGTGGCGGATCTAGGGGTGTGCAGGATAAATTACTAGTTATTAAGGTGTTTTGACTTGAAGTTGTGTAATTTATTTTGCACACCCCTTGATCCGCCCCTAGTATACCAGCATAAAATATAAGATTACATTTAATATGATTAATTTTGAGTCAAACCGTCAAGCCCTAGGAGGTTTTGTGACAAATCTACACATTTTTGCTCTTCCGAAACAAGATGAAGTAAGACAAACTCTGGAGAAATGCGCGTAGTTTCCAAAATTGTGAGCAACCCTAATTTCTGTCTTGGCTATTGCATGCAAACAGGAAAAATGTCGAGCAGGTTTTTTAGTCCAATTCTCTATCGTATTTCTTAATACGAACGATATTATAATATTTCCGCCTATCAGTAATGCATTATTGCATAAACTTAGCCGTGGCCTAGTGCAAAAGTATACTGAAAAACCATGCCAACGAGGGTGAATTTCATGGAAAACAGGGATTTACAAATTCCGCCATAAATACCTGGTAACTGACTAAAAACCCAGCTTTCGTTAAGTTAGCGGGATTTATAGAGAACGTCCGAAAGAACGAGACAGAGTATACCACATGGTTTAAAAATTGTTACCGCCCATGTTAGACATAGGCCCGGGGCCAGTGTGCTCGCCGATGCATGAGGGGTTTTTATACCGCGTTGTGAAGCAACCTGCTGGACGTTGTCAAAAAACTGGAGCGACAATTAAATACACATTCGCAATAAGGGATAATGAATGTGCTTCAAGCAAGGCCATAAACTATGAAATTCACTGACGTTTTCATAATGAAATTTCTTCAAGGTTCTGATGTGTCTTCAAGCGTGGCTGTTGAGGAAGTTGATTTTAGAGAACGATATTTCAAGATTTTGAAAGACAGAAATAAGGACGGTTTCCTAGATAAGGTAGGGTTAGATGTGAACGAAAACTGGATTGCGCTATATCTGCTGATTATCGATTCATCAGTTCAAACCGTTGTGTAAATGCTGGGAAATTAATAAAACCACAGCTTTCAGTGAGCTAACAATTATTAAGGACGATCCCTAATTTAAGAACACTAAGGTTTATTCAAAGTTATACCGAACAATAGGCAATTTTAGAGCGATTGAAGAAATGACTATTCGGTGAAAGGAACTATCCTGCCTTCGTAATGCCTATGCAAGAACAATTTTTTTTCTGAAGTCTAGTGTTCTTTATCCAACCGTTGTCTCTAAATACCTCAAAAATACTTCTCAAAGTTAATCTTAACTCTCTTGTCGTTTTAGGTGGAGGTCAAGAAATGGCTTCACCGATCATTTCCATCGCGGATCGACATAGAAACGAATGGTTTTATGCAACAGATAGATAGAAATAAGGTGAAGGCGACAGTGGGCATGTAAAGGCTCGTTTACACTTGCGATTTTTGATGCGATTTTACTGGCGATTTTCCTCTTTTGATATAACAAAGTAATTACTCGTTCACATCTATCAAAAGAAGAAAATCGTACATAAAATCGCAGCAAGAATTGTTAGATTATTTGGTTTATTTCAAATAATAATGGAGTTATTTAACAATTGTATCTTTTGTTCTCGCTAAGCAAACAGTATCTATCAACAATGGCCGACTATAAAAGTTAAAACAACGTGTCCGATGATCTCTATATATTACTGTAATGTTCTCTATTTTATGCTAATAATATAAACTTGAATACTAATGTTAATGAGTATAACTGTTAACTGTTAATGTTAACAAGAATTGCTAGGCGGGCCTTTACAATCCAATCCAGTTGTAGTTTGGAGGTTTATTTCAATCCCAGCTTACTCCTGTCCATGCTTGACATGCGTCAGAGGCATGGCTCATTTCAATAATTATACCTGGCAAAATTCGCGTGTATAAACAAGCCTTTGGATACTTTTGCATTAGTGTAATTTTGCACAGTTTTCTTGCAGGATGGATCTTTAAACCAAGATGAAATACTCAAAAATTGGGATAAGTTCAAGACGTTTTATCCCGATTTACAGAACACGTTACTGGAACATGACGAGCTATAATATAAATAGAATATTTAAAAGTGCATCGAAAGAATAGCGAAGTTTAAATTAAATATATAAATAGAATATTTAAAAGTGCATAGGGAAAGAATAGAGAAGTTCAAATTAAATATATAAATAGAATATATAAAAGTGCATGAAAAGAATAGAGAAGTTCAAATTAAATAAATAAATGGAATATTTAAAAGTGCATGAAAAGAATAGCGCAGTTCAAATTAAATATACAAATAGAATATTTAAAAGTGCATGCAGAAAGAATAGCGAAGTTTAAAACGCTCCTTAAGTCGAGTTTGAAAAGCAGAGGCGGCGAAATATCGTTCGGTTGAGGGGGGGGGGGATATTTATATATCCAAGTCAGCAGACAGTAAAAACAATCAATTTCAATAGAAACTATATAATGCTGAACGTAAATATATGAATATCTCCCCCCCCCCCACTTTACGATCTTTGCAACCCCTGAAAAGAAAGTATTTGCTCGTAATTGACAATCATGAAGGCAGGCATTTGATCGATAATTTCATTTGGCATAATTATGCGTGTAATTTTAATTCTTCTAAGACTTTCAGTATTTAAGTCACGAGAAGGTGATCAACGAAAGTGCCAAAATCAATGGCGACCAATGAGAATACCAACTATCAGCAGTGGCGTAGCCAGCCTGACGATTTAGTCATGCTATGCAAATTTTTCATTATTATCAATATTCATTTCTTTAGAAGTTCATTGTTTTCGCAGTCAATGAACACCAAAATATTACCATAGCATTACTAAATTGTCGGGCTGGCCGCGCCACTGACTATCAACTACCAAGCGGCTGTGACATAAAGTACACGCGATATCACTGATCTGCAAATAAACTGGAATGTTGATTGGCAGATGGAAACTGGGCCATGCATGAGGCCTGGTTCTCATAATCCCATTTTATCTTTATGGTGGCTCAGCTAGCCTGGACGATTTGGTCTCACCGTTCAAATTCCAAGTTATTACATTGGTTGTTTTCGCCAATTTCGGTCAATTGAATTTGCAATGTAGTCGCAAATGTCTAGAGCAGGTTATTTTCTCCGATGTAAAAATGGGAATTCTCAGTTATTCAATGTATTCAAAATGCCATTGTTGACTGAAACATTGTAATACCTCACCACAGTGACATGTTATATTAGCTACATAATTTGTTGTAATTTGTCGCCGTAATTTGTGGTAATTTGTTACAATTCGGTTTCCATATGCCAGCCTTTACTCCAGTGACAACAGTATGCTAGTTTTTCTTTGTGTCAAACTGTCAATGACAGTGTCAAAACAATACATCATATATATAATTAACCAAGAAATATCTCAGCGATCAGTAAAGAGTGAGTTCCTATACTATACACAACAGATGCTATTTAACATCGATCACATGTCACGGAAGCGACAGGCAGTGACTGAATGCAAACAAGGATTCATACAACACCAGAAATCGAGGCATCGAGTGAATCTGAGTGATAAATGTTTAAGTAATATGGATGCATGTCTAATGTCTGTGTAAATATATAAATTGGAATCCGATACTGGTGACCAGACAATAGCAGTCTACCATAAATATGCGAAAGCATTACAAATTTATATGCCCGTATCCGATTTATGCACGTATCCGATTTATGCACTTACTCAAATAGACACCCTTATCAGCGACACGTCATACGGTTTTCCCCAGATTTCTAGACGTTTATTTACTCGCCCCAGACTGCCTCAGAGTAAGACAAGGGGCCATTCAAATGAGTTGCCAACGTGGCAATGTTTACGTTTATACCACGTGTTCTACATTGACCAATTGCGTTGCAACATACTCTGCATATTAAACCGAAAAACGTAAAATTTTTGTGTTGTTGCTGCTCTTTACTCGCATATTCGTTGTTCTGTGACTGTTGCCTTGGCTATCGAGATGGAGATTCGTTGTCTAGGAATGCTAATGTTGTGTATGTCGATATTGGTTAACGGCATTCCGAGGCCGAACGAAGGGGGAGCGAAGAAACGCGTTCATGAACAACAGCCGCTTTCAGGCGAGGAACATTACCAGAGTAACAAGCAACACAACGCGGAATACGACCACGAAGCGTTCTTAGGCAACGAACAGAAGGCCACATTTGATCAGCTTTCACCCGAAGAAAGCTTACGTAGACTTGGGTAAGTGGGATGTGTTTTTAGTTCGGCAAATGTTGATCAATTAGGTATGCTGTTTGCACACCGAGTGCTCACGATGCTGTGTTTCATATTATTATTCGGGCTGGCGCGCAACGTTCGACTTCCACTTCAGTGTTACTGGGCAATACTTTAGCATGTAGTTTAGTAATAAAGTGAAATATATACTTCGTTCATATACAGAATGTGTATTAAAAATCTAGCAATCTCTGACTATACTCTTGTTTTTGTGTTTAAAATTAAATTTAATCGATTATTCTTCTAAGAGCGCAAATGGGCAGCAGTCTGGCAACTTTTGTATTTGTACACGCGGGTCAGTAAATACACAATAAAAATGAATAAATCATGCATCGCTAACCTAACTTACGTGTGCATAAGGATTATGTGCAGTTTGTGCACCGGATGTGATCATTTTATTCATAAAACTGCCACAAATTGGCAACGAGTACTTTGGCGTTAACCAAGAAGGCTATACCGCTGTAGTCTCAATATTTATAAGACACAATTAACGAAATATTAAGTCTGGGACACAGGGGCAGTATGGTCCGTTATGTAAAGCTTCGTCGTGTGTGATAATATCACTGTAATAACACTAATATGTTATATGAAACTTTGGCATAGTTAAATCATATTGACATTAATTTAGAGTGTATTGTGCGTGGGTGGAACAAGTCAAATGAAACCAGTGTTGTCTGGTCGATAGGTTAGCGGCGAAAAACCTATTTTATTTCCTGTAAAGATAATGAAACCTAAAATTATAATAATTGCGCGCATTGAAATATGCCTACCGGCATCAATTATGCTGACTAATATGCTGGACGTAATTACTCCGGCGTCAGTGACGGAGTTGAAAATTCCCAAGGTTTTTTTTTTAAATTTTTTTCGTCGTCGCAAGTGTGTTTTGGCGCGATAGACAAATTGGTTGACTTGTCACACAGCGAAAGAAAAGCCAGTTGAATCCACAATACGTATACATATACAGAGTCCATTGCTCAAAGCGGTATCAATTTATGCAATTTGTACTTCACAATTTTTGCTGATATCATTCGTCCTCCCCTACCGAAATTTTGTAGTTCGTAGGCATACACTTCATCCGCTACACAGTCAGTTATCTTTTTTTTTCCGTTGAGGAAGTTGCGATATTTCGGACTTTTAATTCATGACCTAAAGGTGGTGTTATATCATCTCGCTGCATGCAATGCAATATTGCAATTCTACTTTTGATAGATGTAAAGTTGGCAACTACGAACTCATTATGAAAATCTGTGCTCATTATTCAATACATGCAACATTTCGTCACTAATTTACATCTCTCGAAAGTAGAATTGCACTGTAGTTGCGAGAAAAGTTGCGTCATGTAACATGACCTTAATTATCATTAAAAGCGTGAGTTTAGCGCCCTTTTTTCACCAAATAAACCCAAGGAGTCTATATTTTTTCATAATGTAACGTAATGCATGTAATCTTTCAACTTAATATTGCACAGAATCCTTGTGGACAAGATCGATCGTGATGGCGACAAAAAGATAACAGAGGAAGAACTGAAGTTCTACATTGATCACACACAAAAGCGATATATTTATGAAGATGTTGATCGACAATGGAAAGATCTCAATCCAGATAACAAACCTTCCATACTCTGGGGAGAATATGTGAATAGAACATATGGCTTTGATGTTGGTAAGAATAAAATCAATTAGGCGATTGAACGAGAATCTATTTACGTTTCTCAGATCTGGTACAGGAATGTATATCTTGTAGTGCTCCAAGTATTTCGGTCACTTATTTGCAACAATTTTTGTTTCAAATTCATTATTTGAAAATTCATTTTATACTGGAAATTCATTTATGTATGCCAACTACTGTAATTGCATCACAGGATATGCTCGACTAGGTAATATTTGTGTTAGCATCAAATGGTATAATAACTGCCATGAGTGTCATACTAACTCTCTTAACGAAGGCCTTCAGGTCGAAACGTCGAGAAGTGTTTTGTCTATTTAGGCAATTGTTATGCCACATTTGATGCTATTACAGGTTAAATATCTTTTATATCAGTTGAGGAATCACCCTGCCTTACTTGTATAAACTTGACCGGATTCAGAGGACAAGCAGCACAGCATGATTTTACGCTCTCCCAGAAGTAACTTAGAAATGCAATGGAAAGAGTTTAGCTGGGCCTTAGGGCCAATGAAACTCGAATGATGAGTTAACGCTTCACAACCAAGAAGTGCATGTGTTGTAAATAACAGTGGCGTACGGGAGACGATAATTGGGGGGGGTCCAGATATTCATATATTCATGTTTTGCAAGATTAATTTCTTTTCAAACCCATTGTGTTTAAAGGCCTGTTAACATGAATATGTGCCCCCCCTCCCCCCAATTATCGTTTCACGTACGACACTGGTAAATTAACAACTTTAATCGTTTGTAGATGATCCACAGAGAAACACGGAGTTCAATTACAAGGATATGAAACGAAGGGACAGAAGAAGGTGGGAGAAAGCCGACCTTGACAACAACGATAAGCTGACCAAGGATGAACTGACGTCATTTTTACACCCAGAAGAGATTGATCACATGAAAGAAATCATGGTGGAGGAGACGATGGAGGATATTGATAAAGATAAAGACGGGAGAATTTCGTTAGATGAGTATATCGGTGAGAAATGATTTTGACGACAATATTAATTTGCATTTCTTTTTAAAAAGTTATTTGAGGGTTGTGAATATGGATATAGAGTGTATAAGTATTGGCCTAATGCTGACTACGCCACTAGTACAATGATTTATTAAGACGGAATAGTCGGATGCATTGTCTCCACCGACTGCACGTGTATATAGACCCTTGTATGCATTGTCTCTACTGTACGTGTATATAGCCAAGTAAGTTTAGGACTATGATAGTATGCGCACTGTACTAAATTGAATTTATTCTCGTTCAGGCGATATGTATTCGGAAGATGAACGAAAGAACAATGCTGAAGAACCTGATTGGTTAAAGACTGAGAAAGAGCAATTCACAAGATACAGAGATAAAAATGGTGATGGTTACATGGGCAAGGTAAGCATTGAACAAAAATAGACTGCTGTTCTGTTGTACATCCACTGGGATAAAGGCAAGCAAATTTGCAAGTAAATTTTCTTAATTAAAACGTCATAACAAAGCAAAAAAAGACGTAACGATGGGGTAAGCATTACATTATGCTAATCGGATGGACGGACAAAAGTTTATGATTCGTATATTTTGCAATTTCTATTTAGTCTGAAGTGAAGGACTGGATCCTACCAGCAGAATATGACAATGTTGCTGCAGAATCTACACATTTGATGCACGAGGCTGATGCTAATAAGGTACGAACATTTGAAATGTTGGTTTTCATTCAATGGTAATTGTCATGATCATGTCAAGGTGGTTCATGTGTTAGAATATTACTATGACTTACTATGGTCAACAATAACTGCATTTCCCTGGAGCCGAGTTTGATTTACCATAAGTGGTGATATGTATATTAAACCTGGATAGCGCAGATCGGTAAATGGATGAAGCCATCGCAACTACACTTTCCTTTTTTGAAAAGGTTTCTCGATGCTGGTGGTAGACGATCATTTTACTATTTTCTTTCTTAATTGGCTTGTGAATAAAAAATGCTATTGTTTTTCACGGGCTTTACGCCATGTAATTGTACGTTTATTTATTTCCATATTTTTGAAATAGCTTGGAAAAAACCTTTTGCGTACATGGGACTAAATTTTAATTAGCGCTAGTTTTCATTTTCACCCATATGGAAGATTCGCCTTTATTCTCTGAAGTTAACAATTTGATGCTTTACACAACATTTGGTAAAAACTGTTAAAATTTCTCAACCGCGCACTAATTTACTTCTTGATAATCTCCGAAATCAATGATAGTTCAATACAAAATCTCCCATTTTAGGATGGAGTTCTAACGAAAGAGGAAATTTTGGAGAAACATGACATCTTTGTTGGCAGCCAAGTGACAGACTTTGGTGAAGCATTAGCTCGTCATGACGAGTTTTAGTCACGTACATTTGCCTGCTATTGACAGTTTAATATGATTATGATTTTATCAACGCTTTCATTCTTCACTGTCATAGAGTGGGAATATTAATATATATATTTATATAAAGAAATTATTTTCCTATACATGTGTTAACTTTATATTGTCGTGCATTCTCGATTTGTAAAAGTATTTTTTCAAAACATCTTGTTCTTACCGTGTATTCTTCTTGGATGTATTTTCGTTTCGTTCGTGGATGCATGAGCGCTCCAATTCAAAATATAAAACTCGTGTCGGCCGTACAGCCTCCCTCCTCAGCGGTTTAGCTACGAAAGATAAAACATTGGAGGCAAAAGTTGACTAAAATCCTTGCAGCTGCAATACATGAAGTTGAATTAACGAATGAAATAGAAATTAATAATGCATTTACCGTAAGCACGACTTGGTTGGTTGACAAGGCTTTAATTTATGCTTCTGGAATACAAATTATTAAAGCTATTTATTTCTTGCAGGAAACTAATATATCTATATTATTGCCTGAACTGGAAGCAAAGTTGGTCCAGTCCTTGGAAGGTGTTTTTTATTCGCCTTGTTACCCACGTAGCCCCAAAAATGATTGTACAGTTTCATATCGCGGTTTCTGGGCTACCAGAGGCCCAGAAGAATTGGATTGACATCTTGCTATCGCAGCGAGTGGAATCTTGTAGATATGGATATTTGTGAGACACCTTTTAAATCAAATCTTTGGAAAAAGTAAAATTTCCAACTAACCGTAACTTCTTAAGCAGCAAACGAAGATAGCATAGCGTGAATTCGACCGGTATAAACGAGCCCTCAAGGGTCAAAATTCACACATGATTTTTATGGATTTTATGGGCGAAAATAAATATTTGTTCACATGTTTTGAAAAATCAACCAAGATTGCGGGAATTGCAAACCACCTATACTGAACGAAAGGCCAGAACGACGAATTTCGACCGGTTCTGTTGTAATACTCCGTTTAAGATAAATTGAAATGAGAAGGGAAGCTAGAAGACGTGAGAGAAAGGGGAAGTGAGATATACTGAACCGAGCGTAAAAGTTAAACTTTTAAATTTTGTTTGATTATTTGAAACATCAGTGATTATGACTAATTCAGGAAACGTATTGCATGATATCCATGCATGCATGCGTTTTCGATCATAGTTCCAAGTTCGTTCGGTACCGTTTAAACGGGACCCAAGTTGCCAGAAGTGAAGCGATTGAGCGAACACCATGGTTCATTCTGTTTATTTGCATGCCAGAGAGTTAATTACTATGCCATTAGCTTGGCAATACTTGAGAGCTCACCCTCACAAGGACGGGAAAAAAATTGAGATTTGATTGCTCACGGGTGATGACGTCCTTAGGGTGGATGGAATTTATTTTATTCTTGCAGGAGGCATCAGCAAAAATACATAATTAATGATTGATCATATGTGCAATTTATACTCAGAGTTGCCAGATTGCTGAGTAAATTATTATTATTATTACCATGCATGATCGTTGTTTTCTTTGTTTGAAACAAAGAAATCAAAGGCCCGACTGTAACAATGTTTGGCTTCTTTTTTCAGCAATCTGTAGTGTATTTTTCAGTCTGTAGTGGCTATTTATAGTTTCGTTAATCTAGTTTTATAGAGAAAAATGGATATATTTGTATCTCTTTCTGCCACTGCAGCTTCCTCATGCACCTACAGGTTCTTGTAAGCTTGATTTCACTGTGTTAAGGGAAATTGTCTTGACAATACCAAATATCCGCTACATTTTAACAAGCCATTAAAACGTTTTATGACTCTTAATCGTTTAATTGTCAATGCATTTTACAGTATGCATATCTTACAGAATGCTTTTTATCAGTAGAAATGCATCTCATTAATTATATTCTTTGGAATTCAGTTTAAAGGATTCGAGGTGTAATTCAGAGCATAAATAAGCTTGTTGCGTGTTTTACTGAGATGGTCTTCCCAAATTAAACGATACATGCTCTTCGGATCCCTGTTTTTACAAGTTACAGACACAGTGGATTGCATCAAGGGTAAGTAGCGTTTACACGCTTTCGAAGCGCAGTTAAGTTATCAATACAAATAGAATCAATTGGTAATAATTTCCAATGTCCACAAACAGTTCTAGTCCCCAAAGTATTGTAAGGTTCCTAATCTTATAAGCCAAAACGCTGTTTAATTGGATTAATCATAATTCTGGTCAGATTTATAAAAGATCTTTCAAACCGATCAAAGGCACTTAATAAATAAAAGCTAAGAAAATCTTAATTGCAATTCAGGTTCGCTTGACGTTATTACCACAGACAAACAAGGTCAATAATGTTGGATATATAACCAGCCTTTCATGCTTTTGAATGTTTTCGAATGAATAGTAGAGGTCCTGGTATTTGTTTCTATATCCATCATTTCATGAGTGAATATATATACGAGTAACGCGAGTATGATTTCATTTATTATCTTAGGTCGGATGCTCTTAAAGTTAGTGTAATGTAGACTTGAATAAATTGTAACATGAAGCTTTTTGTAAATGACCAAGGAAAAGTAAAATATATCGATCTCCTCCACTCTAATAACATATAGTTGCCAATGCTCATATAAAAAATGATCTTGGGTGCTTGATAGAAATATAAACGTAATCGACAACACTTCTTAGCATAAATGAATTTCGGACACGCAGCCGACCCACGCAACCCAGCACCCAATGCTATAACTCATTAAAGAAGTTAAGATACCCCGTTCCCGATGTATGGGTACGGGTAGCCTTATTTTGTTCACTGAATTTCCATCAGTGTTTCTCAATTTTTTCGAAGATTACCTCAACATATCATTTCGAGTAGACTTTAGCCTCTTGAGGCAGGCAAGATTTGTATCATGAAACGTGCAAACAACAAGAAATTCCAAGGAACAAACTGATATGGCTACCGTACCCATATACCGAAATCGGGGTATCTTGACCTCTTTATTAGTCTTGGTCCGGCCCTAGCAGACAAACTAATATGTCATGCACTAACCATCTAGTGGGATTCAATATTGATAAAATTCCATATTTCGTGGATTCTAGTCTTTGACAATGAACTATGATGACACTTGCAATGAAAACCGGCTGTAAAACCCTATGTATCGAACTAATACATAATTTATAACTGACAAATAATCATGCTCGACGTCTCGTCTAATTTTGGCAAAACTTTCGTATATCACTCGTACAAAAAATTCGTACGCTGTCGCACCATAGTAATGATAGTATTATTACCTACACTAATTACAATTTGCAAAGTTGATTTACAAAAATTGTCAAACACTCATTAGCCAAGCTGGACGTTTCGTTATAATAGTGACATAATGTCGAACTTATCCTGATTTTCCAAGGTTCTTTGAATATCACTGAATAAAAGCCCCGACGTAGGCGTACCTCGCCTTTCACGATTACTTATACCCATTCGTATCACCGTAGGCAATAATCATGGGGGAAACTACCTGCTATTGTTCAATTGCAGTTTGTATTGAACAAAAGAATCCAGAAATTGAACAGTTATTACAGGATTATCTCAAAGAGATAAGACTTCCTTTCAACATACTGGAATTTGGTAACTCTGGAAATTTCACAACTGAACCGAATGAAGCTTTAAAAATCAGGTCATTGGAAGAAAATTCGGCGCAATCGCATGCGATTTGTTTTTTCCTAAAAGAGGATACAGACCTGGAGTTCACGCTTAAAAGTCATCTCGAGGGATTACCATGGGAACTTGATCACGTGATTGAAAGTTCCCGGATTGAACGACCGCGGACAATCGCAAGACAAGAGTTTTACAGATGTTCGTATGATATGCCATTGATATCAGTCGGTAGCGTACATTACGGAAACGAACATGTTCGATTTCATATCAATGTGAAAAATTTCCACGCGATGAAAGTATTCTACGAAAGTATTACAGACAGGAAAGCAAAGGATTGTGGGCCGGATTTTTGCTTCCTCACGACATACTCGGAAGACGGTCTGGATGTTCAAATCGGTTTGAAGAAAAATTCAACTGTGTTGCCCTTACGGAGTAGTTTGTTTCGACTGAAATTTAAAGTCCAAAGCGCATCTCCGCTGTTTGAGTTTTTGGCATCGGCCCAACATTTATCAAACCAATCAAATTACATTCTTCAAGACCCAGATGGCAATGACGTCATCATTGAAAGGTCTGATTCCAAAGTTAGCAACTTTCATTGCGAGTTGCCTAATGAAGTTGATGAAAACAACAATTTTGAATCAAAGATTTTGGAAGAGAGTTCGAATTCGAATTCTAGGCTAAGAAAACATATGTGGAGTAAAAATGAGTACTCTGAACATGGTCTGTTTCCTGAAGAAGCCATGTCTAGTGTTGATGGTTCCCTAAGCAAGAGTGAGGACAGTGAGTCTGAATGCATGGTCATCGTGAATCACGCATACGAAGAACATATAACTTTTGTATGAAGGCGAAAAGTAGTCCGCACGAGCATGTTCTCATGATGACGTTATGTGCAAAGACAGGTTATTACATAACAGGAGTTGTTGTTATGGTTTATAAACAATACATTGGAAAATGCAAGCTTTCTGTGCGAAAATAAAAGAATTAGTAAAAATAGGTAAAATGATAACTGAGTTTTGTCGATGTTTTGGCTTCTTTTGACATCCACTTTGGCATTTCTTTCCAGTCTAACAAGCTTGTCGCTAAAATTCAACATCTACTAGAATATAAGTTAGAGAATAGCTACCTTCACTCGGCCAATCAGCTTCCAGCATTTCCATGCTCTATAACTGATAAGGGTTGAAAATCATAAAAATTATGAGTGACTTTTTTGAATTTATTAACAACTTTATATTGAGTTACTAATGACGGTTAGAGCATGATCACTTCTGCTCTATGGGATATAGAGTCCCACAAATTAAATAAAATTATGATCTAATTCTCGGGACTCCATACCCATAGAGCACACGTGATCATGCTCTTAACGCGTACTATAACATACTGGTGGTTTATAATAATAAGGAACATGATAACCAATAAATATTTGTTTAAACTTGTTCATAAATTCATTGCTTTATTGAACTTGGAAAAATTTCACTTTTTTACCTCTCTAGATCTTACACTATATTCTTATAGATTCAGAGATTATTGCTATCTGGTTTTATTATTGCAAACGGTCACTTAGATAATGCCATAATGCATGGTTGGGATAATAGATAAATTAGGAACTGAAGTAGTTGACGTAATGTCAATAATGAGTATGACATTTGCGAGACATCTTTGACCGGTACTGTACTACAAGTCTAAAAGTGCAGCGGAAGATCGTTGAGTTTGGTAACTATTCATATATTCATGCATGTTAGCAGACCGTAAAGACAATCAATCTCAAAAAAACTAATAATACTGAACGTGAATATATCCCCTCCCACGTAACGATCTTCCGCGGCCCCTGCTGTCGAACATGAAATAAATATAACTTCATATTCGTGCACCTGCATGCTGCATGGGCAGCCGACAGACAATACTATTAATTATTAAAGATGTATGTGCAACACAGTTTGAACATAATTTTTTTCTGAATGGGGCAAAATACACATCAAACAACGACGTTGCGTGGTATTATTTTACGACAAATTCTTTGTCAGTCAATATTATGATATTCGAAACCTTTATCATAATTAATAAAATTACGGTTATGAGTCTTGACGTGACTTAGTTATGATTTTGAGCGCCCCAAACTGACACATCAAGTCATGCATGTCATATTTACAGCTTGAGTAAACTGACTGTTTTAATGCTGCGTTGCGCTCGTGCAAACAATATCAATCTATGCAATGTATTTGTAATATATATTTATATTTTTCCAATTAATTCTCCCAGTTTAGGCCATGTTACACGATGCAATTTTTCTTGCAACTTGCAATGCAATTCTTCTTTTGAGAGATGTAAATTTGGCAACTACCGAACTTTTGTCTTTATTACGCTCCATGGCGATTGTTGCACCACTTGCACTTACATTTTAAAGACTCTTCACTAATTTACATCTCTTTAAAGTAGACCATGGCCTTTAATTTCAAATGAATCATCCAACATGGCAACAGAGAAGCGCGCATTGTATTTACGGTAATTCAATCCTGATATTTTTTCTTTCCTTTTCAGTTGATTTCAACTTTCTACATGCATGCATTTATCGCGTCAATCTTTATATGAAGACACAGCATGTAAAGATAACTAGAACCTGCTTGGATTACTTAACTGTGAAAAGCACTCCCATGCATGGCTGTTATTCACAGGCTATTCGTTTTTCTAAGATTAATTGGTGGTAACTTAACACTCCGCCGATTATTTCCCGCGCGGGATTTTTTCCTTTCTGTATAAATACTACTTTCACTGTTTTGTTTTACGAGCTGTTTATCCCGTCGTAAAGAAACCTTTTTGGTCTTTTTAAAATCGTTTTTTAGCGCTTCTTGTGTTTGTTGAATCATTCTTACTTTTTTCTTTTTCATTGATTCCAAAAACGTCAAGTTTCTTCCCAAAGATGCGTCGAGCCCGCGGTTTTTGCTAGCGGCGTACAAAGCCGCATAGCGAGTCGTCGGTCGCAAGCTTGTGGCCATTAGGGTAATATCTCGTTTATTCGCTTCCTGTAAGAGTCTGTCTGCTTTTTGCTTCGGCGTTTCATTCAAAATCGTGATATCACAATCCACGTCGGGAGAAGGGGTAGTTTCTGGTCGCGAAGAACACCTCTGACTCCGCAGGGAACTTGTAAGGTCACGGTCAAATTGAAGCGAATTAAAGCCTTGCAATCCATCTGAAGGTTTCAAAACAGCCTTCTGTATCTTTGAATCTATATATCAAGATTGTTCATTAGCGTTGCTGCTCTTCCTGTCTACTTAACTCCATTAAATTTCCGTGTACCATTCTTCAGCAATACCATGACAGTCACGAACAGTTACCTTCCTTTTAAACGTCACTGGAAAACATCGCTTATACTCTGCTGAAGTTTAATACGTTTTGAAACAATTGCAACTGTTCCTTGTTTTGACTTAGCATGAACACGTTGTTTATGGATCGACCGACCGCGACAGGTGCTATATATGTTGCTATAACTGTCATTTTGCAGGTGCATGTATTCTATATCAATATTTTCATCATAATACAACAAGAAATTTACCCAGTCTCTTGCTATAAATTTTGTGATAGCTTTTGTTTTGTTAGCACTATATAAGTCAAATATTGCAAAATATAGTATTTTAATAAATTTGTAAATCGTTGTCTACTCGAAAGGTTTGCGGTAATAGTAAGATGTTATTAGGGGATGTCTTTCAATATGCATAAATATTGATATAGTTCATTTGCTCAACGCCATGGTGAAAATTTATATATTATTAATAAAGGTCTATATTTATACAAGGTCGGAAAATTTGAATAATTGTTGTTTATGATGCCATGCGCTTCTAGATCTATTTTTCTTTGGTCAAGGCGATGCAGTCTTGAAAAATCAATTGCATTTTATTTTCTAATTTATCGCAGTAATTATATAACTTTTGTGATCGGAGGACTCGTACCAAAATTTCATTGGTTTTGTCTTTTGAAGCAATGTCATTAACAATTCATTTCACCGGCTGTAATTGCATATGCACACTATTCTTAGACTCTTAGCTAAGTTAAGCCTATATTACTATTTGGGGGGAAAAGGTGGAAAAACATGGATTTTGATTTTCTTATACATGCTTCTATCAAACCTATCAAACCTATCAGATAGAAACATCTATCTGAACCTCATGCAGTGTATCGTGTATTTTTAGTTTAATTTTGAACAGTGTGATTACAAAATTACAAAACTCAATAATTACAGCCGAGGTATACTCGTGATTAATAAGTTATACTCGTGATTTCTCGACTACATGCACCTCGTTCTTTTACCACTATTATCATGTAACCGCATATGCAGTTATTTATCCCGGTTATGCGGTTTATATCAACCACAAAATAAATTTGCGGTTTAATTATTTGCGATCGACTTAAATTGCATTTTGCGCTCTTCCTTTTTATTTATGCAGATTTGTTAACATAACAAACGTATTATACAATGCAGCATATTTTCAGTGTCGTGCATTATAATTATCATTTCATTTGCATGTAAACAAAATATTTTATCTAAGGAAAGAGGGAGAAATTTTGAATCCGTTATCCGTGAATCCGTAAAGAACTTACCAACGGCTGCATGTCACTTCTGGATGTGAAGGTGTATGCGGAAGGGGGGGGGGAGGAGGGTGGTAGATATGATCATTCGTTCATACTAAGCGCAAATAAAATGAGAAGATTACTAACAGCTTACTGAAAAAAAAGGTATATAATGTTCTAGAAAGAAAGCCCCGTTTACACCTCTGCACTGTGTTTATTCGCACGTCGACTCGCCTACTATTTATGTAAATGTAAATTTCTTCTTTTCACAGTCAACGAACAGCAAAATATTAGCCTAGCGGGACAAATCGTCAGGCTGGCTACGCTACTATCTGAGCGGGAAAACAGTACTTCAAGAATCATTTAAACTAATAATAACCACACAATATCGCCATTACCCAGAAAACAAAAACTCAGAAATTGTAATATTCAAATTCGAATACTTTTAATTTAATTCCTACGGAAATGAATTTGAACAAAGTTTTAGACGTTTTTTTCAAAATAGCATCACGTGTGAATACGAATCACGTGCATCAACGTTGGTATTTACATGCGGTCACGTGGTCCAAAAGACCACACTTGTCCGTTTAGGAAAACTTTTAAATCTTGAACAATTTTATATTACTTCAAAGTTCGTCCACGGGACGATTCAACGTCTCCCCATAGTTCGTAGCTTTGCTTTTAACAAATAACTCTTGTTTGTCCAATATTTCCCGCTTAGTGACAGTCTTGTCCTGAAATGAGAAGTGACATTGGAACATTATGCTGGAGAACTTTCTCAACACCTATCGGTTGAAACAGAGCCTGTAAATAGACTATAATTAGCATTAAAGTATCATCTCTTTACGCACTCTCAAAGCATTCCAATTGTTGTATATAAATATGTAAATAGAAAAACTCATGAAATAGTAGCTATTTTACAAGTCTTCTGTTTCATTGCCTTAGTTTCTTATACCAGGCCAGCCTGATAACTGATGTTTAAACTTCAGTGTTGTTATCGTTCAGTTGCATTAAAGTTTATATGCAAATAAAACATACCTTATTTCCATCAGCCTCATACATTAAATGTTCTGTCTCGGCATCGAGCGGATTATAATTGACAGGAAACAACCAAGTGAGTACTTCTGCCTAAGAATGTGGAATTTAAATGACTTTATAAATTATGTGCTATTGTAGTCCACTGAGAGATAAAGAGTATCTACGGTCATTTATTTCTCTATATAATAACTTCTTTTCTGTTTGAAAATTTATTCACATATCCTGCGAAACCAACACAAGCATGTAATGTAGAAAACAAAAATGTCTTCTGCTTGGTTGACTTTTTGCGCTCGTTTCTCGGGTTCTGCTAATTGCAGAGTTCAGTAGGTTGTGCCATAATTCACTCCTACCTTATTAAGTTTTCCGTCGCCGTCCTTATCTCTTTCCTTGCGAAAGTATTCTCTTTCCTCGTCCACCCAATCCGGTTCTGTTTCACCATAATCACCTTTTAAAAACAGTAGAAACAATTTCCCCTTACAATTTTTGTGTAGCAGGGTGGTTTCAAACTAAAAACTTCTGAAGTGCTACGTATATTCTACTGTCGTTGCGACGAAAGCGCTAATAATATGCCTTCATCTGTTATCCTTGCAGCTAAAAAGCTTCAAAGAAAACGCAATCGTCTACCGGGCATTGAATATCGTAATGGACACAGAATAGCTGACAAAATAATTTAACAAACGATCACTGTAGTACTGTTAACAATCGCTTGTATGCAGCAATATGGAAGAAAACCAGCCGCAACACCCCCCTCCCCCCCGTGCGCCCTACTTTAGCTTTGTATCGTTCTGGTGAACCTGGGTACGAGTAGAGCTGTAAAACCTGAGCAAAGCCACCATGCAGTAAGAAAAGTTAACAAAAATATGAATTACCAATATATTCTTCAAGAGAAAGGTATCCATCTTTGTCCTTGTCTATCCCTTTTAATGTTTCCTCAGCAGCGATTTCATGCATTCTCCTGTATTCGCCGGGGTGTAAATATGCCGAGTATTCGTCTTTTGTTAACATATTGTCGTGGTCGGAGTCTGCGACCTGATATTTTCTTTTGTCGAATTCCCGTTTCTTCTTGTACTGTTCGTCCACATTCCTGTTGTCGTGATCTTCGTGAATATAAAAAAAAAGAGATCTCAAACATGGTTGAATTTTAATATGAGTAACTTGAAGGGTGTACAGAATGCAATTCAATGAATATGAAATATTTTAAGCGGAATGGATCAGGGGAGAATTCCTCATAATAATTTATATTGTTCAAATAGGAAATTGAAAGATTCCTAGCTTTAAAGGACAACAAAATGCTAATCCTGGCCATGAAATAACCTCTTTGTTGTTGACTCTTGAATTCCAACAACTAGATCGAAGATATTCTAATCATACGCTATATATGATCTCTTGCTGAACTTACTTATAAAAGAAAAACCTAGTTATTTAATTTGCAGCACGTTCTCCAATGATGCTGATTTGGACAAGCATACGAAAAATATTTCTCAATATCTAAATTTCTCACCCATTTTATGCCCATAATGTCTCTCTTTAAACTCGTCCCAGGATATCACTCCATCACCATCCGTGTCAATCTTATGAAAACGCTTATCCACCTCATCACGAAGATGTTTCAGTTGAATATATTCCATCCAAGCCCTTAACTCTGTCTTTGTTATGTTACCATTGCTATCCTTGTCTATTTTATCGACAATTTCACTGCAAAAAAGAATTCAATCCAATACTAAAGGCCCTGTTACACGGTGCAATTTTTGTTGCAACTTGCAATGCAATTCTACTTTTGGGAGATGTATATTTGGGAACAACTAAACTTTTGTGTTTATTACACTTCACTTTTCTTCTGCAAGAATCTTCAGTAATTTGCATCTCTTGGGAAGTAGAATTGCATTGCAACTTGCAAAAAAAATTGCACTGTATAACAGGGCCTTAAAAATAGATGAATTTACAATGCATGTAAACTCAATGTACCCAAATAGCAATAGTATGCCATGGTTATGGGTACGCGAGGCATATGAATAGGCCCTAAATCCACAACTGTTTGTGTCCACGTGAAAGAACACATTACCATACTACAGTTATTGCGTTCCAAAAATATATATAGGCGTTCCGAAAAATATTAGGTAATAGACTTTTTTCGTGAAACGTCAAGTGCGAGAAGTGACAAGGAGTTTCATGGGCTCGTTAGTTTTGCGGGCCAGTCAAACATTTTAATATCATTAAACAGTTTAACATCAGATTTCCCGCGTTTGACGTCATCATGAGAAGAATGATCAAAGGATAGATCAATAGATTTAAGTCAGAATAGATTACTACAGTTCTAACATCAGTAACTTGCATCATATATACTGGCAGAATAAATAAAATGTACATAGTAAGACACCATTATTTGGTGCCATATTAAATTATTCACACGTGCTTTATGCAAATTGTTTACCTGACTGCTTCCGTAAATTAATGCGGCAGCGATAAAATAATATATCATAATACCTAGTATAAATCTTTATGTATAATTGGCAAACTCCATCGCAACAAAACATTGGCCCCTTAGCAGCCTGTTATAAACATAATCCTATTCAACAAGACCCCAATCTTACCTTAGACGCAGTCTGCTCTCTTCTGGTGTGAGAGTTTTAAATGTATCTCTCTCGCTCTCGTCAAGAAATGCTTTGTGGTCATGTTCTACATTGTGTTTACCGTCTATGTAATGATCACTTGGTCGAATGCGTGGTATTGAGTTGACAAGCACACAGCAAAGCAGACTTAGAAAGCATTTTATTTGTAGCTCCATGATGACAAATCCTAGATACAACCACTAGTGTTCAATCAAATGAATCAATGCTAAACCTTCACGATGAACCTCGCATTTTTAAAGTATGGCTCTACGAAATATATGCCACGTTGCTGTTTTGTGTTTTGAGTTACTATAATGCGCTATTGTCTTACAGCGTCGGTAAAAACCCGCAAACGGGCATTTATGTCATAGGTGGGACCTTCGGCGGCCAATTGCCACGTACCCGAATTTGCGCTGTCGTATTACACGCATGATCATGCCACGTCGTGGGAGCTGACGCACCAAATTGAAGCAAAGTATTCAAGGATTGTCATTTTGCCCACCCATGAACTACCTTCGTCTGAACCCCCGAAGGCTAACTTTATTTGACTTATTTCCAACACCCTCAAGCTAAGTCTGAGCAGACTTCTACAGATGATTGTTAATTTTAACCAAGAATACTAAATCGCACAATTTTATTGGGAAAATATTTTTTAAGATTAGTAATCGAGGTAGAAATGTCATCGCCCAGACTCGGAAGTGACCGGAAACTAGCATGAATGAAATCAAATTTTCAAAATAGTAGGGAAAACCCCTGACACAGTTACGACATTTTATGCCTTGCTGCCTCTTTCATATAAATAGATTTTGCGCAATTTTTTTAAATTTTTATTCCGTTTTAAACACGAAGTTCATCCTCTTGATTTTGACGCGGATCTCGAGTAAATGAGTACTTAAAGTGCCTATATCACTTGTGGGATCTTTACGGATTTGAATAGAGCTTGAAAAATTAGTTTATAAGTTCTACAACCTTTTTTGATATAATTAAATAGTTTCGAAAATACGTCGGTTGGGGGGACTGGGACTCAGGAATGATTTGCAAACACGCCGTCTTTTATAACGTAAACATGAAAAGTTTCACTGGCGATATAGTTTGCGCTTTTGAAGAAAAAAATGCGGGAACGGTGCGTTGTGTATGGCTGTAGCAACTGGGCGAGTTTTTCTCAAATATTTTACGTTATTGGAAGATCGAAGTAAAATTACAATTGATTATATTATGTTTCACAAGAACTCAGTTCCTGAGTCCCAGGCCCCCGAGCACGACGGAAATTTAGGCAAATCGTCATGTTTAGATGTAAATATTTCCAAAACTATTTAACTATATCAAAAAGGGTTGTAGAACTTATAAACTAATTTTTCAAGCTCTATTCAAATCCGTAAAGATCCCACAAGTGATATAGGCACTTTAATTTTGCCTTTTATGCGAGAGATTGACAACAACAATAAGGGCTTTCATATGTGCTGAACAGAATCAAGTAGCCAATAGAAATGCTTCATTTTTATCACGTGATAGCAACTGTCCAATAGCGCACGGCCACATTGCCACGCAAAGTAAGAAATTTCAAAGCGCATAGAAAACATTCGCATTTGCGCGACGAATACATTCACTGCTTGCGCCCTGTGACACAACAATCCGTAGAAGAAATCATGGCAAACGTACGATTTTTATTGTTTTTTATTTTGTTCCCTACATGTCTAGCACACTCAGTGCCCGGGAGAGCTGAAGACGGTCACTACACAGAGGATGGCAAGCATAATGATGAATATGACCACGAAACGTTTCTCGGCCATGATGGGCAAAAAGAATTCGGCGAGCTGAATAATCAAGAGAGAATACTTAGACTCAGGTAAGCATAGACGTCGTTAGGTGCATCTATTTATTTACTTACCGGAGCTCTTCTGTTAGCTGTCTTTCGCGAGCATGTATGCACCCCGAAGTCTGAACCTTGTATAAAATATATTATGCCTAATTTAATATTCACGTGAAATGAGATAAATTAAAATAATAATTGATATGAATCTCGAGTGTTTACAATCATGAAACAATAAAGCACACATCACTTTTCATTGATCCGTATTTGAAAGTTTGAAAGAAAGAGGTATTTGTGTGTAAACACTGCTATAGCTGTTTTAATTACCACATCCTGGGCATTTCCTGATACAAATTCATATCTGCATGCACAGATCCATGGCAATCGATTCGATTCAATCTGTTGTGCACGTGTCCTTATCCTGAATGCGTGATTACTTTGCTCTTGGATTCTAATCGAAAGCAGCGATGCAAGAAACTCACAAAGCGCATTCGATATTATATTTATACATATTGTGTTTAATATGTTGGTAATTTGAAACCACTGCACTTATGGGATGACTAATTTGCATTTAATCTGGCATTGCTGATCATTCATTCTGACTTGCCACTCACCCCTTGGAAATCAGTTTTCGTCTGCAGAAACTCTTCTATTTAAACTCGTGACCAAGGTTTTGACATGCCTGGTTCAGCGCTAGGGTGCGTGATTAATAGATCATGGTCATATTCATGGGCCACGGGGAACAATGTTTTTATTAAACATTCTTATAGTAAAATTGTGAGATTGTTCAAGTTTGCATGCAATACTCGCAAAGTTTTCTCATAAGCAATTTTTGTCCAGGGGCTGGTTGTATAAAACGCTCAACTACATTTTAATTAGTTAAATCGTAGTTACTAGAAAATACATTATTCTGATTGGCCAAATCTGCAACTACCTTTTTATACAACTGACCCATGCATGGAAAATTATTTTTTTCAATGAACAATTCTAGCGACATGTAACGGGTTTATAATGAAGCCGTGTAAACGATTCATCCCCTCATTCTGATTTTGTTTGAATTGCATCGTCGTTTTCCTTTCTGTGTGTCTGAAGTTTACTTTGAAATAAATTACTGTACATCATAGCATTCCCAAAGTGTCCTCAATTGTTTATTTACTGTTTAATTGTCTACATACTCTTAAAAATTTATAGTAAATTATTGTTTTTAAGCAAACTGGTTGACAAAATCGATAAAAATGGCGATGGTAATGTATCAAAGAGTGAAATGACAGAGTGGTTGAAATACATTTCATTGAAAGAACCGCAGGAATTAATGAGAAAGTATTGGGCTGATAATTATCCCTCGATTATTGACGGTGATGGCCTTATCAGCTGGGAGGATTATCAAGCTTTAAATTTTCCTGGCAAAGATCATGGTAAGGCTCTCAGCCATTGAATTTGTCTGCAAATTTAAAACTTCTGAGGTTGCTTTTTAAAGGCCCTAATGTAACATGACGTATCACTAACCTTGTCCGTCATCTTTGGGGTGGCAAGTGCAAAGAATTTCACGTGAACCGGGACAATAACTGATCATATAGCTAACTTGGTCGCTATCTTAAACGAAGCCAATTTAATGGTTCACTCATTTTGCAGAAAAACTGAATTACATGCCGATTACATTGATATCATATATAGGATGCAGAACAAACATAGACTAAATTTTTACACTAAAAAGTCTAAAAATGAGCACTAAAGGTTTCTACATCGAGATCAGAAATGTCATGTATACATATCACCCAGACCCAGTGTATCAAAGAATGAAAATATGAAATGACAGAATTAAAATATTCTTCAAATTGTCTCCAAACACGGCCGTCAGCCATGAGTTGCATAAGCATAGGCATATCCCAGATGGAAAGTGGGTAATAAAGATAACGAAAGTCCGTAAACAGATTTTGTGAACACTCACCACCTTTTTTTAAAAAACAAAAATAATTTATATCGCTGCATCTTTGACTGTAGATGAGACAATAATAGCTAGGATCAATAAATACCACAAACGGTTCGAAGCAGCTGATGAAAATAAAGACAGCAAACTGAGTTTGGATGAATTCGTGGCATATCAATACATGGATCTCTTTCCTCGTATGTATGACGTATTCGTAGATGAAGCAATGGAGACGATGGACTTGAATAAAGACGGCGTGATAACTTTCGAGGAATTCAAAAAAGGTTTGTGGCGTGGATTTCATTTAATGGCTTTAAGCGAATAGCCCAGAACGTGCCCGTGCGAAATCCACAATATACTGGACTGTAGATAAAAGCTTAGTTTGTGAGTGTATACTCATATATTCCTCTTATGACTGATTTCTCAGTTTTGTACGTGGTTGTTCCTATGATATGTCAACATGAACAAATAAATATACCATCCCCAATTGATCGGTTTAGCTACCGCCCTGACAATATATCACATTATGTTGTGTCTGCTACCTCAACCCAAAGCGTTGATTCTTTGTGGTCTACGCGCTGAGTTTATAAATTTTAATATTGCTGCATGGTCATTTTCTTGGGCCATACTGTTATGGAGATTACCCAAAAGATTGTCGAACTTTTTTTCTGTTAATTTCTTCCAGGCGAAAAAAGATCCCGTGAGGATACAAAAAGGGAGTTTGGTATCAGGGATTTAAATAAAAATGATGTACTGGACAAGGTGAGTCTTTTGACTTTTACCTACTACTATATTGATCTACGACTACACAGTGAAAAATCGATCAGGTCGTCGCGTCAGGAGTGAAGAATGTTGTGCTGAACCCCATGAATAACAACAGTATATATTATACTTTTACTTTAAAGATCTGTTCACACGGTCCAATTTTGTCGGATCTAATTCATTTTGGACAAGATAGCCCCGTTTACACTACACTCTATTTATCGACACGACACGACTAAAATTGGTACCCGTACCCAATTCTATTAGTATTAAGGTTATCAAAGCAAAGGTCGAGCACAGATAAAATGGGCACAGGTACCCATTTTAGCCGTGCCGTGCCAATAAATCGAGTGCAGTGTAAACGGGGCTATAGTCTGTTGAATTGCAATGCACGTGGGCAGCAAATCACCTTAAACCAACGCAGTACTGCTTTGTCAATAACCTGACTTTATTTCATACGCCATGCATGCAGAAGTGAATTGGATCCAATAAAATTGGATTGTTTCAACAGACCATAACATATCATAAAATTTTTGTATCATAATGTTGTGTACCATAATTCCGATATGTTTTATTTATTATGATCATTTTTACTATGATCATTTTATAAAACCTATTTTCTTCAGGATGAAGTGAAGGAATGGTATTTTCCGACGAAATACGATCGCCATGAAAACGAAGCATTGCATCTCATTGCCAAGGCTGATAGTGATAAGGTGTGTATTGTAAGTGTTATAACTAAAGCGGGGTTTAAATGAAGATTTTCTGGGGCCTGTTGTATGAAAGCAGAATAGCGCTATCCACCGCATTAGTGTTTTTTCAATCGCTCTAAAATCGCCCATTGTTGACTGAAATTTAATTAAACCTTACAGTATTCCTAAATTGAGGAACCTCTTTAATAATAATTGGTTCCTAAGCTGAAATCTAATTGCTTTTCAAGCATTTTTAGAAAGGTTGAAAAAATCACTATGACCCGATGGATATATAGCGCTAACCAGCATTCGTGCAACCAGCAACTAAAAAATGAACAAGTGTAGTGAAAGCAGACTCTTCAGAATTTAGCATGGTACATGAGATTCGGGTCAATAAATTCTGTGCATGTACAGGTCGTACAGCAACACATGCATATATACATCGTAAATCTGTTACACATGCAGAGTGCATCTATATAAAAGATGTCCGGAAACGTGAAATTCCCACTGATAGATTTCCACGATCGCATTTTTTCTACAGAGGTGTACGGACGTGCATCTATGTCGTTACATCGGCCTTATAGTTTTTACACCGGTAAAAACGCACTATATTCACGAACAGAACTCAATTGCAACCTCGTTCTGCTATTCATTTGTTGGATTAAGAAGGCTCATATATATGACCAACTACTTACGATGTATGTAACAAGATGGAAATCTTGTTATCCGGTCGTAAAAAAAAATGGAAATCCGGTGGTAGAAAAAAATGAAGAACATTCCTTTTTGTTGCCTAAATCAAAAGTTGGTCTAGTATGCAAAAGTCCAATATACCTTTTGCAGATACGCGCAAAATAGAATAAGAGTTATTCTTTTGTGGCAAAATAAAAAATCTCGCATTATAATTGTCGCCAAATATAAATATCAAAGTCGATTGACTTTAAAAAAATCTTGTACTTCTTTCTTAAATCTTAAATAGGACGATGCACTCAGCAAGGACGAGATATTACACAACTACGACGTTTTCGTTGGCAGTAGAGCCACTCACTGGGGCGAAACTTTGAAGAGAAATGTTGATGAATTGTGATACCGACTTTGAAATTCATGGAGATAGCAAACCTATAATAGCTCACGTGCTTACGCGATATTTCTAACTTGCTGCTTCGAAAGTCGTCGACTTAGGAATAGGTTAAGAGCCAGTGAATACATTTCTACTATCTATCATTTCTCATTCCCTTTGTCTTAATTATAGCCTTTTTTTAAAGGTTTGTCTACACTACACTCAATTTATTGCCATGCACGGATGAAATTTGGTTTGGGTGCCAATGGACGACCCGTGCTTTAGACGAATTTCTTACCCCGGTGATAAAAAGGAGATTTTCCGAAAGAGCAAAAAAATTCCTGGCAGTTGACGCGAAGTTGACACATTTTGTATACTTTGGTATTACGGCTGAAAGTGTCTAACTAACTAATTCACAGAATTTCGTGGCCAAACTTCGCGTTTACACTAATTTAAGTACGCTTAGTAAGAAATTTTACCTCCTACTTGTTACTCCTATAGAAAAATTAGTCTAAAGAGCAAGGCGCGATCGTCCATTGTATACCATGCCAATAAATTGAGTGTAATGTAAATCAGTAGAGACTATGGAGTTTTTGATCAAGCAGAGCTCCATGTCAAACAAAAGCTCGAAAGGCTTGTTACCGAGAAAAGAAAATAAACAAAGGGGTTAGGATCTTCAATTCTGTTAATAGAGGTTTAGGTCAGAGGCCCGTCTGATGCTGTGTCTTACGCCTGTATTCTAAAAGCTCACTCACACTCAAACTCATTGAGTGGGAGATCTTAATCTTCTCATAACGTTCCAATGGCGGTATTTCCAGCCGAATAGGGGCTTGATTTTCAGTGATTTACCTTATATCTTTCCATCTATTCAGAAAAAACTTTCTCATTGATCAGCATTAACGAAATTTATATGTCACACTCGATGAGTATGAGTGTGAGTGAGCTTTTTGAATACAGGCGTTAATCAGTAATTGTCAGTTATCTCTTTGTCTTACCATTTTACACGGTGAAATTTTTCTTGCAACTTGCAATGCAATTCTACTTTTGAGAAATGTAAATTAGTGAAAAGTATTCAAAATGCAAGTGTAAGAAACGCCATGGAGTACATGTAATGAAGACAAGAGTTTGGTAGTTGCCAAATTTACATCTCTCAAAAGAAGAATTGGATAGCAAGTTGCAGGAAAAGTTGCACCGTGTAACAGGGCCTCTGACGTTGCGCTTTGCGATATAATCTCAAAGTAAAAATCGCAGTTACAATAAAAATCATCATGGCAAAATAAAAACAAATATAATTGGTCATGCATACATCCTATCGAGGCAAAAATAATGTCGAAAGGGCAACATATTAAGTTGCTTTGAAAATACAAATAACTTTTCTAGGAAAACCATGTTTGTTTTTATTTACTGCGAACATATATAATCGTTTTTGTTGTTTTGCTTGCGTTTATTTCGCTTGGCTGCTTGCACTTGCTTCTTGCTTTTAAACGCTTGAAATACATCAGAGAGATAAAAACCCATCGGGCTATCTTGTTGTGTTTTTTTGATATTATACAAACAACAATATCTTTTTTTAGTACTTCTGATTTTGAACGATGTTTCGTAAGCTTATCAAGTGACTCGTTTCCAAACCAACAGCATGACATTCAAAGCTCTCTCCCAAGACGTCTATCACGTGTTTTAAACCGATATATTATACAAATACCAATTCGTCATTCGCAACTTCGGATTTCGAGCGATGTTTCGAGAGCTTATCAGGTGACTCGTTTCCAATCTCTTCAAGCAATATCACATTCCCCTCTGGATCCTTTGTACGCCATACACGTAAGTTAATTTGCACAAGTGAAGAAACCAAATTACACCGCGCAACATCAAGTTTTCGAAACTTCAAACGCAGCACCGCTGACCTAGTTAGATGAAGATGCGCATATAGTTCCTTTTTCAACGAGATTTGGACGTCTAGGCCTGGGTACGAATGAACATTGAAAATGCAAAATCCTGTTCTTACGAAATTACATTGTTGTGATATGAGCCGTTCGTAATATTCTCTCATTTTCTCAAAATCTTTGACGAATATATTAAATCTTAGAATCTTGTTACCAAAATGTATTGGGGAAATCGCCCAGAGAGGCAAATGCTTGGAGAATTCATAGAAATCCATACAGCCAATCACCGTAGAGTCATCAACATTGTTTAACAGTTTAATGCTATGGCGTAATTGCCAGATATCTGCCTCATTCTGAATGGTACCCAGTACCTCTTCATATAGCGCTTCGTCTATGAACAAGACCACACTAAGGGCCTGGATACTAGTCTCCTCACTGTTTTCAATTTCGCTCGTGTTTAAACGATCATGTTTTACAGCCAGGGGGGAGATTTCATCGTTACGAAATCTGATGAACTTCCAACCAGGATCTACATGACTCAAAATTTTCGCCAGGTGTTTTCGCGTTGATGGAATCTCTGCTCTCGGTAGAAATATGTCGGCTTTGCATAAATATAACGCTGCTTCCTTTGTCGTTCTCGTCCGGATCCTATTTAGGATTGGCGAGTTCTTGATTCTTTCTCTTCTGAAGCTCATCGAAAATGATGGGTTTTCAGACTCCTTGAGTACGGTAATATTGTAGGTCTGTTGTCTTCTCCACTAAAAACACAGGACAGCGCATTTACATCTTCAGATATAGGCTTGTTTATCTGTATGGCAACAATAGCTCTTATAGTTATCACTTGCACGGGGAGATGCACGGCCGAACTTAGATGCGATAATTGGGAGGTTTCCAATGAACATTAAATTAAGTCGGGTATATCAATATACACCCCACCATAATATACATCACGCCATAGTTAGGCTTTGGGGGGTATTCAAAATAACCTTTAAAGAATTTAATTCGCGGGAGAAAAATGCTTTGTCGGTGAACTCAACTGCATATTTGAATGATAATTTGTATATTAGGCTGATAAAAGCATATGAGATGATAAACTTCATTAATCTTCATTATGATGTCATTATCAATTGTTTGAATTGCATTCGACGCAACCACAATGCGACGTATAACCAAGGCCATAGGGCAGGAGCTTGGAAGATAAAAAAAGACTAGTGACAACTGACCTAATTGAACGATAACAAGCTTATGGCACTCGCTCTCTTGAATGATGAAGATAATAAACCCTAACAAAATACAGACTGTGCTTCACAAATTGATCATAAGCTCGAGACTTATATGGGATAATTGTAGATGAAGCAAAATTCTGGAAACCGCTGATAATTGTAGATAAAGCAAAATTTTGGAAACCGCTCTGGTAAAGTAAAGACCAGGTAATCTAATAATCTAATTTTCTCTGAGTAAGCACTAATGAGCGTTAACCTAATACTCGCTATCTATAAGTAAACTGATGGCTAGTAGCATAGCCAATTAGCATTTACAGCAATACTCGACTACGAATAACGTTTTTGCTAAAACTCGTTAGCTACAGCTCTGGTCGCCCATGCATCCAAATCTCATGATACCTCCTCGCAAAATATTACGGAAAGGTTCGCCTTTTGGGATGTAGGGCCACTGAAACCACGACAATATATGCATATTCAGTTTCAACGACATTAAATGTTTTGGTCACATTTTGTTTTCATTTATATACGACCGTCTCTTCACAACAATTCGCAATTCCAAAAAGAATCCGAAAATGATCCGCCAATTCTGCCACCAATTATAGTTGAGAGTTAACTAACGGTTGTTCAAAAACCGGTTAACTTAACCTAGAGTTAACGCAAATTTTTACATCATTTTTTTTCATCGCTTGTTAATAAAAGTTGAATATTTTTTCCATGAGTATTCTCTGGTTCAATAGAAATCATATTTTGTAAAGTTTTGAAACAAACGACGGTGCAGAAGCACGTAAACTAAAACAGTGGATTGGATTTAAACCCGGTTAGCGCTAACCTAGCTTTGAAGCATTTTATCAAGTTAATTTTGCGATGTGATGTTACACCAATGCAGAAATATAGTGATATTTGGATATTAAACAGGTTTTAATATAACTTGAGAGAGAGCAAGTTACTAAAATTTTACAAAAAGTTACTGAAGTGAATTTAAAATTTTTAAAACTCGTGTCATATACAGGCAAGGAACTTTGCACCACGAAATATTTATCAATATAGGGCGTAATTTCTTGCAAACCTCCTTTGTGTGCGATCTGCGATATACGAAACCTACACTGCAACAGATATTTGCTTGTCATGCATTTCTTGGACACTTACCTTAAAGTTGCATAAAATGATGTTGCAAAACTTGAATCAACCGTGAACTTGTCAGTTGGTAGCTTCTTTTATAGGTTCGTTTCAATCTCGCTACATCAGCTAATAAAAAAAATAGAGTTCGCTCTATGTTAACAGCTAAAGTTTCCACGACTGTTTATTATAATTAATCATATGTAAATAAAGCGAAGATCGCATATAAACACACAGCGTTCTATAAGGCCATAAGCCAAATACTTGCATAATAATTCGTGAATACTTTCTCTCGTTAGAGGCTTTCTTACCGCTTTGCCGCCGCCAATGTTTTTACGAAACGTCTTTCTGAGCATTCTTACAGTGAATTAATTTTCCATGTAAAAGAAAATGCCATGCCATGGAGCGTTTATGTAAGTTGACTAAGTTCAATGTGAAAAGCGACCTTTTAACCTTAAAAACCACACGTACTTCAGAAATCCCTTTCAATATTGGCTAAGTCTAACTCTTTCGTGCTCTTAATGCTGTAAAATGCTCTGCACTTTACAGAAATATCCGAATTCCTCTAAAGAATTTTGCAATTTACGCATGTACATCCGTTAGAACCGTTTAGAACAAGAGAGGTTATTCTAATTACTTGATTTGTTACTATAATGAGAATTACTATATCCTAACGTTGACTCATAACATAGTTTCAATTCGCACATCAAACATCCACAATCAAACCATTACAAAAAAGAATCCAAGGCTCATTATCGTCTTGTATAGCCCTCGAAACTGCCATCATGGAAACGCAAGGGAAATATCTTGAAGTATTCTCAAACATGTCAACGTTCGCTATATTGCCAAAAATGATCGTAATGTATACCTTGATCCCCTTAGTTCCACTAACAATTTATCAAATTACCTTTAAAAAATATGATTTAATCTCCTTTCAGTTTCAAACACATGTTCGCTTTCTGGATAAGCGCGTTTCGTCGGGTATAACAATGAACAGTATCTCACTTCACTCCATGAATACAGTTGGTAAATAAAACTACTTCTCAATATAAATGGATCGTTTGTCTTATAGGTTTCGACACACAAAGTAAACATTTGAATCCTCTTGTTGATAAAATATGAACGACGAACATAATTTGCATGAAATTGATGGGAAATGCGAATTTCGATTGATTTTAGGGAAATTTTCAATACATATTGTATCAAACTTTTTTAATTTTAGCACTTTTGGAGAGTGAGGGCGCTGGTAAGTTGTAGTTTTAGCTGTTGAACTTGTCAAATTTAGTCCGGAATATTTAATCCATATGAATTAGATATATAAACACTGAACTCTCTTATCGCATGTGCATGGCGACTTCCCATGAGTCTGTGTGGGCATTATTGACTCTAATCCAACAGAAAATAAAACCTCATACCCAGGGGTATCCCCTAGAAAAAAACCTGGGTACGAGGTTGCAGAAAAGATTTTGATAGCGATTTCGTTCGTAATCATGCATCGGTAACATGCGATAATAATTATTGACACCCAGCCCAGCAGCCGTAAGGAATATGAATAGAAAACTGTGCCCAGCCAAAACAAATTCTAAACAAGCAGCAAAACTTTATTAAAGCACTAATAATACCCAGCTTACATACATGTCTCTCTAACTCTTAAGAAGAATCTTTCACTTTCTTTATGGTCTGGAAATCGGTCCATGTTTATGCAAATTTGTTCGAAGTAAAACTTGATTCTCATTGGTCACCGACAGTCGGTGTTGCTGTTGTTGGTGATCTTTGGAGAATATATTCTTTGTTATTTTCTTCGTCACTTGGGAATCAGGCCTCAAAACATCGGATTTTTCATAAAGCATGCAATTGCCCAATGTCGTTACCTGAATCACCACATCAAAGAACTCAACCTTACCTCAGAAAACCAGAGCAATTTTCAAATGTTAGAGCTGACTATAGATGCATGAAATTGACCAAATTTCCAAACCATCGAAAGTGAAAATACATCAGATACACTCGCATGCACACGTTTAACTACGCCATCTTCGGCGTACTCGTAATAATGTGTTTGAAACATTTGCAGTTAACCATGAAAATTTTGATCCTCTTCATTTTTCCTGCAACTTTTAGCAAGTTCGCGCGGCCTATTTCAAAATGTTTTAACTATATTATTCCCAGTCGTAATTGTTTTGATCCTTCTTTTATTACGCTAAACTGAGGAGAAAACTATTTACATTTATATTATCAGTATAAAATCGTTGACTTATCTTGTTAAAAGAGTAATTGAGGTTAAACCGGATGACCAATGTTAAACATGGCGGTGAACCTCGTTGAATCAAGCACAGTTTTATACACGTATTTCTCAAACGACGGGATTTTTAAATGCTAATACAGCAATAATAGCTGTTTCCGTCTTGCCTTTTCCTGTTGCCATTGGGCGTGCAATATTAAAGAGAGGTTGTAATTTTTTAACTTTAAATTAAGTTGAAGTTGTAAAATTTCCTGGATAGAGTAGCAGTTATTACAACACGTTTGCAAAAACAAAGCCAGTGTAAAGTCAATAGTCAAATACAAGGAATTGCTATTCTTGCACTATTTCATGGCTGGAATCTAGTTTAATAATAGTCATCTACTGGTTCTTGTTTCACCATTTGTTTTTCCTTATCGCCTGCTCCCATGTTTACTTGATAACCATCATCCTCTGTTTTTATTTTTTTTATTGCGTCTTCTTTTCTTTCACCGTTGCGTTCATCGTCTTCATCACGATCACGCTTGTGACGATCACGACGTTCACGATCAGAACGATCTCTTTCACGCTCACCATCCCTTTCGCGGTCACGTTCACGCTCTCCATCACCCTCTCTATCACGCTCACGATCACGGTCACGTTCGCCATCACGCTCACGATCGCGTTCGCCACCACGCTCACGGTCACGTTCGCCATCACGATCTCGATCACGAACCGCATCACGCTCTCTATCACGATCACGATCACGCTCTCTATCACGATCACGTTCCCCCTCACGCTGTCTTTCCCGATCTTCACCACGCTCACGTTCTCCATCACGATACTTCTCACGATCGCTATCACGTTCGCGCTCCCCTTCCTCGCGTTCCTGTTTCAAATCATTATGTTCTCGCATATCACCATCACGAACTCCTTCACGCTCACGAACTCCTTCACGCTCACGAACTCCTTCACGCTCACGAATTTCCCCTTCACGCTCGCCCTCGCGTGTTTCACGTTCACCATCACGATTACGTTCACCTTCTCGATCACGACGCCTGTCCCGATCCCTGAGAACAGTGAACGGGTTAGTATGACGTGTACCATACGAATTGCGGCCGAATATTTGCTTTTAATCAATTATCCAAAAAAATATGATCAAATCATACTGGATATCACAAAAAAGTTAATCTTGAGAGTCTTAATGAGAAACACGCAAGCAACCAAGCCAACCAACCCTAACGACCGACTAACTAACCAATCGGTCTACCTAGCGCCTGACCAAACCACCCATCCACCCAAAGAACCATCATTCCATCTAACCCACAAAAAACCCACCCATCTATTTAACGACCAGCCAACTAGCCAGCCAGCCAACTAAGGTAGTTAAGCCAACCATATAACCAACCATGACGACAAGCAGCATAGAAAAAGAAAATACCTGGCAAAGATTACCTGTCTCGATCACGGTCTCTATCACCACGTTCTCCACGATCACGATCTCCCCGATCGCGGTCACCACGCTCACGATCACTTCGTTCACGATCACCACGATCACGATCACTTCGTTCACGATCACCACGATCCCGCTCACTACGATCCCGTTCTCCACGATCTCTACGCCGATCCCGATCTCTATCTCTGTCCCGATCACGTTCCCTGTCACGACCACCACGGTCACGCTCACGGTCGCGGTCACGTTCACGCCTCTGACGATCACGGAAATCACCACCTCCACCACCACCGCCGCCGCCGCCACCACCACCACCACCACGATCTTCACGTTCACGATCCCTATCGAGGGAATGAAACACGTAGATTAGTAAACTACGAACTAAAAGTTTCCATGAGAAGGATTCTTTGGGCTTTTGCTTAGTGAAACATTAGGATCAGATTTGAAGTATATTTTTCATTGCCTAATAAAAGAACTCGTGAAAATAACAGGTACAGGGTTAGGATGAGAATGCTAATGCTCGACTCAAGCCGAAGGACTCGTATCGTTTGAAAGAGTTTTCTTAATTGATCCAGGCCAGAATTTGTGCACTGTACGGATGAGTACGACAGGAACCTTCACTTTACTGTTCTTAAGGTTCGTTTGAACAAACGCAGAAATGTTGACACTTGATACAGCGTTAAAATGTCTTGATGAACTGTGGGGTTTTCTATATTTTAACATTTATCTACGTTGAAATCCTAGGCTTAAACTAATCGGGTTTGAACAGCAAAAAACTTTATTCACAAATTGTTGGGTGATGTTGGATCCGTTTGAAAATGTCGTTTTTAGAGGTTATAATTAAAGGCTGTTTAATTAGCAATAGGCACTTCAAGATTGACGTTAATGGCAAACCGCAAATAATTTAAAATTCGACATCTTTAATCAATTGTTAGCTGGTCGAAATTGGGATAATTTGTTCCTGAAGATTAAAGCAGGAAATGTGAAGAAGTATAATATTGTCAAAAAACCTGCAGGGTTTACTTTCAAAAGCGAATTAAAATTTGCAATTGCGGTTAGTCAATCAACGTCAATCTTAGATCTTCCTCACTAATGCGCAGCACACTACATTGTGACGGGTTTAAGCACTTTGATCACTCGGGCACTAGCTAGTTGCCGGGCACCAAGTGAAAAGACTATCTACTCACCTTTCAAAGTTCTCTACACGACCTGAATGTCTTACGTTCATCTCAGCTGGGCCATTACGAGTGCCGCCAAGACCACCACCTATTATACATACGATTAACAATTGTTTAATTGAAATTATAAACGATTTGATGATATTTGTGGGAACTCATCAGACAAAATAACATCAATAAAATACAACCGAGCGACGTACACACAAAATTACAGCATGTAATTCTGGAGGCCTGTGGCGGGTTGCATAAAAACTAAGGTACAATCAGTTTTGATAAAGGTAGGCCAGACTCGCCACCCGGTAAATGTTGCGAAAAACACATGTCAGGTGATCCCCATCGCATCGACAACACTAGTGAGCTTAATCAAACGACGTTTTTGACAACACAAACGGCATGAGCAACGTGAAAAGACTGGGTCAAGGATTGTGATTGGTGAAAAACAAAAACTTTACTTCCGGTTAACGTACGTGTTGTCAAAAACGTCACTTGCTTAAGCTCACTATTGAATGGAAAGGGGGGGATGGGCTTTTTGCTTGAGTAGCGAATGCTTGGAATTCGAAATGACTCGAAATGAATTTAGAAAACGACACGAGTCATGCACGTTTTCGTTCAACTCATAACAGGCCTGTCTAGGGTCAGATGCGAAATAGACTATAGCCACCTCTTACTAGAAACACTGAAATAACGATTTCTCATTGAATACTGTAGAAACTTTCCGAGAGCATTGGTAAAGTTGGAAAATAATCTAAAAGATTACCTAAACGCCGCGGTTTCCAATTCTTCACAGTTCTTCCTCTCTCGACATCAACCACGATACGTCGACCATCAATCTTCTTGCCATCAGCATGTTTATAAGCAGCTGTAACAATACGAAACAATTGCGTTTAGTCCGGTGAACCAGGGATGTCAGTGAAGAAAATAACAATGATACAGTACATTTATACCACTGATAGCGGTGAGGTTGTTAGCCAGGGGATAGGGTGACATTACAGAAATCCAGCCAAGCTGGCACAGTTCAACTCCAAACTGTGCCGTGTATCATGTAATGCCATGGTTAATATATAGTAAAAGTTTGAAACCTAAAGCTGGGGAAATTGGTTCTACGTACGTGCCACACATTCAAACCTACCATTATTACCACATTTTCCCCTTACGCTAGGGGTCAAGTTGTGGGTATTTCACGAATAATTAAAGCAACTTTCCACCTAAACTGCCTAAACACGACCATGCAGCGGACATGCATGCCCGAACGTTGTCAATAGAGACGTAGACGCCGGTCAAGTCGAATTATCAAACTTTAGCAAATCTTGATTTGAAAATCACTGGACTTATGTAGCAAGGCCTAAATAACCCACTGAGAGAATACCAAACTCTTGATGTTCACCGCGGGCTGATACGTAAACGTTTCTCCGTATGAAGGATCGCGGGGTCTATAATTATGGGAATTTTTACTCTAGATCTTATTGACCCTGCCTTAAAGAATTTCCATTTATTAAGACGGACGGTGAGTTTTCTCCAATTTCGTTTCCTTTGAAAGATATAAACACATGCATGCCCACTGGTTGAGACATTTATCGAGGTAATAGCTACTTACATTCATGTCAGTCGTTAAAAACGCTAAACCGTAAATCGAATGCGGAGACAGTAGAAGATGTTGGCCCAATCTCACGGGCTGGCACCAGAGGGGACCAGAAATATATTCACACAAAATGTAGAGATTGTAATATAAAGAGTAAAGCTTTACCAAGCTGATACTCGGTCTTCAACCATGTTTAAACACTTTAGACGAATATTGAAGAAGCTTTTACTGCATTTCTCCTACATGGGAATGCTGCAAGTCTCTGACAAGTCGCAAAAATAGTTTTAAGGACAACGTTCAAAGAAACGCTAGAATCGTACGAGATTAAGCGTCCCTTCAAGCATTTACGTTTGGCGAGACTATTCAAAATATTCCCCGTAGTTGCAGTTGATGATGACGAAAGTTCTTCAGCAAAGAAAGTTGAACATGCCCTTGTTACAGCTTGGAATGTGAAGAATATATCTAACTACTCGATTATATATAACTACTCGATGCAAAAATGGATATAAATTTGCGGTTAAAGAGGGAGGACTTATATACATAGGTCATTACTGATTAGGATTGCAGCTTACGTTTCTGGGAATTCTTCAGTATATCAAAGGATCAATTACCAGACGGAAAATCATTAAATCAACGAAGACCAACTCACAAATAGAATTTCATTCTTTTTACCATAATCTCGTGAAGAAAACAGATTTTCAGGTCTGAAATTCACATGCAGTTCGAATAGGATTTGTTTAATTTTATCGAAAAGCACTTGTTTTGTAAAAAACTAACACTAAGGCCCACAATTTTTTTGCGATTTTCATAAAATAAACGCAATTTTTTAGGTGAAAAATTTTGAATGAAAGAAAATCCGAAATTATTCAAATGGTGTTTGTAGGCAAACGTCATACGAACCTATACCCACCAAAATACCCACCAGTTAAAATGAAAGATTTTTAAAGATCAAGTTGGCCATGGCGTGAACATCTGTTGCCATTGAGTATTGGCTCAACATTCTTAGTATTTGCACTGCAAGGATTTAATAACAGCAGTATTATTCACACGAAATGGTTGCCATGTAAGGCGCCTATAAGATAACCTGATAAGACTGTTCGAAGGGAAACCGGATGCAGACCTTACCAAATACGGAACACAAAACTTACCAAAACACCGAGAACGCAACACGAAGACTTACCATCAAAATGGCCATTTGCGAGTACATATACCTTTAAAATGCGCTTAGTACATTAAGATACATTCGTGTATACAGTACAAAGTGACGGATAACTGAATAGTGTAGCTATTGATACACAAGCTGATCAGAAATAGTTTCGGCTGTCAGGATCTCGACAGATCGTGCTCTCGAAAAGAGTCACTACACACTTTAACGAAGATGAGATTGATCACATCCGAAGATGACAACGATCACATCCGAAGATGAGATTGATCACATCCGAAGATGACATCGATCACATCCGAAGATGAGATTGATCACATCCAAAGATGACATTGATCACATCCGAAGATGACATCGATCACATCCGAAGATGAGATTGATCACATCCGAAGATGACATTGACACAACATTTTCTTAGATGTAGGAATTCATTTGGAAATCCGCATTATTGGAAACAAAATGAGTTCCAGAAAGCAAAAAATTTAACTAAAACAAACGTGCCGATCTTATAGACCAAGTATAATATGCCACCGTAAACAGTTTATATTGGTCATTCTATGAAATCTACCTAACGTTAGATACATTATACCTTTAACGTATATGTACTTACAGTGCATATCTCGTTCGTGTTCAAATTCAACGAATGCGTAACCACGTGGTTTTCCTGTCGATGTATTGGTCACCATTTGGATCTAAGAATAATTACATATGAAATGAAACAATGGAAGTAACAAGGGAAGCCAAAATTTTATGTAAAGGATTGTAAAAAAAATTTCGCCACACTCAAGATTTCAATAGGAAAATTGTTGTAGTTACAGTAATTCAGTTGCTAGAGATGTGTCAGGCGGGAAGCTGGACGGTGAGCAATTTTCTTATGTCCTAACAATTGCTGAATGCCGAGCTTAATCAGCCTTTCTGACGATGACGAATATGACGCCATTTTGGGGTAGGACTTTTAAAACCAAGAGCGTAAGACCTCGTAACGGCGACTGTTTATTTTTAGGCTGAATTTATTCTTTAAATGGTTTGTTGATTCTAAATAAAATTGCTGTTTATGTTGTTATAATTTTTTAAACCTTTTTGAGAGAATTGAAAGTACTCCAAAACGTCATCGTAAGAAAGGCTAATTCAGAGGCCACAGAGGCCTAGACGGCAGAACATAGCAAGGTTGCCCCGCGTCGCAGCAAATAGAAAATGTTGGTGGATACATAGATATAACTTACAGATTTCACAGGGCCATAGATTTCCATTTCTCTTCGTAACTTGCTTTCAGATGTATCGTAGTTCTGAAAGAATAGTTCTCACATTTAGCCACATTGCTTCATGAAAAATACAGTAGTACCACAGTATATTATTGTTTTTAAACATAAAAAGGGAAATACCAACAGGAATTAGGACATGGAGCACAATGATTTACAAAATAACCATTACGTACGTTTTATATTTCTTCATTAAGGCTATGTGCACACGAGGGCCATTTTCGAGCGTTTTCAGAATAGTTTTTGTTTATTTTATTGTTTTGATGCCCTGTCCACATGACCCAAGGAAAAATACATGCTCAATATGTAAATTGACTTGAACTTCTATTGTAAATTGATGGTGTTTGAAAACGTTACCATGATGTGCACATAGTCTAAATTTCGTTCTTATAGATACAGTAGTATCTTATAGATACATCACATAGAGTGTACTTACTAATCGACCAATAAACAAGGTCTTAAAGGCATCAGTCACAGCATTAGGGTCTGTATGTGGATCCCCTAAAAGAATAAAACATGCTCTATTGGTTATTGTCAGTGTATGTTTAGGGGCCTGCATATTTTCCAAATTTCCAGCACACACAGCAATCACAAAGCACCCCTTCCCCCCCAAAAATTGCTTTGTTTTAGCCCTGTGGTTATTAACTTTCCAAGCTGTTATTTACAAAATCTTTGATTGGAGGAACTTCATAATAGCAAAATAGAGTTTTATTCAATGTCCACACTTTATGCTGCCATGTATGGTGACATAAGATGCACTATATGGTACTGTACATATGCTCTGCCTTCTACCATATTGCTTTTATTAAGTTTATTTAAAGATCTATTTCAAATATGCTAGATATATCCTAAACCACTAATAGATTATTACATGCAAGGGAGAGGTCACAAACATTATTTGTCAATCAAAACTCAAGATTGATTGTAATAAAAGAAATTTCTATGTATGATGTAATACTTACAATCTTCCAAAGCTTGTTCCAGTTGAAGCTTGTTCTTTTCATTTCTCTCTTTTTTCTATTTTGTTTGGAAAGCACAGAATGAATTCTTTCATTTTATACAAAATACAAAATTTTGGGTTCTAAAATTTTTGTCAAAATGTACAGGGGATCAAAGTGAACATTGAGATAACAATATTATGATTTATGAACATCAATTTTTGCAAATTGATGGTAAAATAAGGTGATCAGCCAAGTTAACAGTTGACATGCCTGGTCATTGGCAAATAAACAATCAGAAATCTAAATCAAAAAGGTTTTTTATATATTAAATTGACAACAGACATTTTATTCATATGATGCACTTACTTTTCGTTCAGATTTTTCTATTCTATTTTCTGCCCTGGTTGGAGCTGGTGTTTCATTTGGATCCTAGGTTCAAGATGAAAATGGTTTGATCAATTATGGTGAAGATACTAAAAGCAGAAACCTAACTAAACACATCAAATGCCAAAATATCCTAAAATTGCATTGTTTCAGCAAAATTGGAAAAACGTAATTTGAAATAATGTACATGGCTTTTGATTGAATCCATCACCAGTTAATGAAAAATTGTTGTATGGTATTTTAGTAGAAATTTGTTTACAATTTTTTTAAGATGGTGTGGAAATATAGGAGTGAGATTCAAAACATATTTCTCAAATTTCGGAATACTTTTACTTTCAAAAGATAATAAAATCTTCTGGAAAGAATATTGCATTTCTGTTAGCTCGTTTGTACAATTTCTATTACGCAATTCTTGTGAAGGATTGCAAACTGGGTTTGCTGTGCTTACTCTCTGCGATTCTCTCTGCGATCCTTTTAATATAACACACCATAGACATTAAATTGCTAGGCAAGGGCATGGCTATAATCCCTTTCATAGAAGTAAAAAACAACTTTTTCTTCTACATTAGAAATCCAAGTTTTGCTAAAAACGTGGCCTTAATCAACCTGATAGAGGTTTATTCATATCTGCAGTTACTCTACATTTTACTGAAAGAGTTAAAACTTAATTATTTTTAGAATAATTTATGCAATGTGCTTTGAAGGCCAGAATTCATACGACAAGCTAAATGCTTTACTTTTGATGGAACAAGTCTTTACGTGAGAATACTGGACTCGTTGAAACAAAGCAGTTCTCAAAACAGACAGCAATTGATAATTGGTCATTATTTGAGAAATAACAAATGAAATTCAAGCCGTCCAGAAACTGGCAATGAACACAATGTACCTCAAACATCCCAAGATGGTTGGACACTCCGATGTACGGCCATGGTTTCTTCTGATGGCCAAGTTTATCAAGCGGTGGCAAATATGGTATAGGTTCTCTTGCAGCGAATAACGCTAAAAGATTGGACGGCAAAAACGCTGTCATTTTGCGGTAAAATCGCAAACAAAAACGTTCAAAGTCTTTCCACCACGAGATTGAGATAATGAGAGAAGAAATGACTTGTGGGAAATGTTGAATATGTTTCCACATTCGAAGTGCCAAATTCAATTTCGATATTGTAAAACCTATGGTAAAACCAACCACCACACCACACCGCAAAAATTGGTGTTTATGAAGTTTTAACCCGAAAATCTAATCACTGTTTCACAATTATGCATTTTGTTATTGCTGTCAAAGAAACAATTCAATTTTCGGTGGGCACAACCTCGCAAGCCAGGTTTTTCTACCTACACTAAACGGAAAAGCCTGGCCTGCGAGGTTGGGGTGAGCACTCCACCTCTAAAAATTTAATATGCGAGCTATTCAAAAATCCTCGTAAAAATAATTTTGCACATGTTTCGTGTCGACGAAATTGGTGTCGACGTCCAGTTTACAACATTAAGTCAGTTTGGAAATTGACCAATCATCAGCCTCCTACTTTCCTTTGTCGAAGACTCGAAAAAGGTCAATGAAGAAGAAAGCGTGGCAAATTTGTTTATATCGATTTCTGAAACAAATCAGTGATTAATTTAGTGTTTGTAAATTGTTTTTGCAATGTCTGGTGTTGCGACGGTAGCTGAGAAGGAGAAACCATCGACGAAGGAAGAATCGTTAGAAACAACTCCGTTTGAATATCAATGGCCTCAGGATAAAGCTGGAGAATTTTTCCTACTAGAAAAGCATGTTTGTGAATATTTGAATATGGATAGTCTGTTACAGAAATACCCTGAGATACAGCATCATCAGGTGTCAAAAGAGGAGAGGAAGTATCTTTTTGAACAGAAAGCCATAACAGAAACAGAATATCAAAAGGAAGACCAAAAGGTACTGTACACTATATTTACACTAATAATGTTTTATATCATATATGAGTGCATGGTAATAATATTTTCTCAAGAAAAATAATTAGAATCACCCATTCAATGAGGCAAATCAGAGTTGCTCAAACTGAGATTGCAAATCAAAAATTGTTAGCTGATTTGTATTCTAAATGTTCTAGCATGTCTATACTATGTCTATCACCTTTGTTCTGCTGTTCCAAAAATATGGAAAAATACACTAAACAGCAGGGTATTCTATAGTTAATTTATAAGCCCCACGTTTAATGGACCATTCCATCTTTTAACAAATGAAAATGTTCTTTCCATAACATGAATGCATGATAACATTCATTATATATTGTTTTTCATATAAATTGTTTTTCATGAATATAAATACCAAAGACACAAAAAAATCTAATGTTAATTTTGTAAGAATAATTGGTTTGTAAGAATACCCAATACATCCCAAGTAAAGAAGATAACTCTACTATAAAATCTACTTGCCAGCCATTTTTTCGGGCTTGGGTAGGGCATAAAATATTTAACATTTCTTTATGATGAAGGCGACCAGAATTGAAGTTTCTGTATATAATTCTCTTCACAGGTAGTGGCCCTAAATACTGATGATGTGAGACAGGTGATGATTGATCATTTCCCCACATTCTATCAAAAATACATAACAACTTTGCATAAAAAAGAAAGGCAACAAGCAATCAGCAAGGCAAAGAAGAACAGTAAGATGATGTCTATACGGCAGACCAATGCTCTAAAGAAGGCCATGAAAGATTCATCGGAGTATAACTCTATCCTACTGCAACAACGTAAAGAAGAACGAGCATCCTACTACGACATGCAAACCCAACTCATTCATATCCCTGCCCGGAAGAATAGAAAATTGCCATCACATATGACAGTACCAAGCAAGTATCCTGTAGCTCTGCTTCCTGGTCAATATCAAGATTACTATTATCCATATACTTCAAGTGAACTAAATCAATTTCCTCTCGGTTCAATTGTCTCCTTCCCTCTTCCTCCACAACCAGAGGTAAAAATTTATCATATAATATATGTACATTTTTTTTAGCAGTTTATTTTCAAAATAACTAGCAATTTCTCAAGTCTTGGTTAAGGCAGGCATAACTGTACACTTGCTAGTAGTTCAGCTTTCTTGTAATCTCTTTTTTTTTCTTTAAATGAGTACTGAGAGCAATGGTCTTGGATATAGAGGAGCAAATTAGAATTTGAAAGGACAATATTTTAAATCATATGAATATTTAACGTCATATGTGTGAATTTTTGAAGCCGAGATGTACTTTTTGTCGCTCAAAACAATCAGGTCCACTGTGATCTGTCTTGGGTAAGGGTGAATTCAAATATGAGATTGCAATCTGTAGAGTCTGAAAACAATTTTCTTAGCCACATTCTGAAATCACTCTAGAGGATTCATAATGGTAATGATGAGGTTAACAATGCATTGAGGCTTTTAGGCTATAAACAAAAAAAAAATCAACCATATCAGTTCCTTCAGGCATGTTCAATCTTTCTCATTTCCTTTTGATAGTGCAGCAATCAGTATTTTTTTATTTTCGTAAGAACAACTGAATATGAGTTAATGAAAATCTTACCTTTTTTAATAAAGGTAGTAAAAGTGCCAGAGGCATTTCAGATGCTGGAAAATGTGAGCAATGATCCTGAGCCAACATCACCTCTGGTCACCATGGGGAAACGAGAAGACGTCTATGACGAACCCCCTCCTAAGAGAACATACAGAAAACAGCCGAGCGGGAAAAAAGACCCCGTGTGTGGGATTTGCTTGTCTGGTCCAGAGATGAATAAGAAAGGTAAATTTTGTGCATTTACAATACTTGATGTGAATGAACCTATTGTGTATTGAGCAACTTTTTGATATCTGCAAGGGAAGGAGCGGCGCAAAGTTAGTAAAATTTTCGTCGCGAAATTGTTGAAACGTTTCTCAGAAAAGGGTTGCCGTTTTGGTCACATAAAAATATCATACAGGACTATATATAGCTACTATTTTTTACATTTGGCAGCATTTCGGCTACAAAGAGTAAAAACCTGCCAAGCTTGTTTCGCGGAATTTTGTGAAATATGGCCGTGCAAAGTACCATTCTGTACCAACGTGGTTATTTACTACTTCGCATGATTCTCATTTATATAATATTGAAGATCCCACTGAAATTTTGATAAAGGGATAAAAAACAAGATCCAAAACAGTTTGAAGGAACATCTTGGAGTAAAAATAGCTCTGTAAAGTTTGTACTCATTTCCATTAGGCACGTCCATATTTTGAGTTGAAAGCTTTTAACGTGTAAAACGAATATGTACAAAATTTGTCAGCTCTACAGAGCAATATTCCATGATAGTTGGGATTGTCCATCTTGGAAACCGTTTTCTTTTATCAAAGATAACGAACGTCGGCATGAGATACTTGAAACAAGTACCTAAGACAAGCATTGCCACAGTATATAGAAAACCAACCAATGAAGGAAATGTTACACGGTGCAATTTTTCTTGCAACTTGCAATGCAATTCTTGTTTTGAGAGATGTAAATTTGACAACTACCGAACTTTTGTCTTTATTACACTCCATGGCGCTTCTTATACTAATATTTTAAAGACTCTTTACTAATTTACATCTCTTAAAAGTAGAATTGCATTGCAAGTTGGAAGAAAAATTGCACCGTGTAACATGTCCTTAAGACTAAAATCTTGGTATATATTTTCACAGGCATGCCGGAAAGCCTAATCCATTGTTCAGAATGCAAAACAGTCCATCCATCTTGTCTTGATATGAGCGCTCAGTTGGTAAGAATCATCAAGACTTATTCCTGGCAGTGTATGGAATGTAAGAGGTGTACCCTGTGCAATGATCCTCACGATGAGGACAAGATGCTGTTCTGTGATGAATGTGATCGGGGTTACCATAGCTTCTGTGTTGGTCTAACCCAGATTCCGATTGGCCGATGGATCTGCGATAAATGTGGAATGTGCGCTTCGTGCTTGAAGAGAGTGCCTGGACCCGAAGGTAGCGCCGCCAAGTGGAAACACGAGTTCACAATCCCAGGCGATGGGCAAGAGCCGCAGTTTCTGCAAACGCTGTGCTATCGGGTTCAAGGTTGTTTCGAAATGGCAACTTCTGTCCCATTTGCCTCAAAGTATATCGTAACGATGAGACGGATCTGCCCATGGTATGCTGTGATATGTGTGACAGATGGACGCATACTGATTGTGAGGGTATCGATGAGAAAACATACAAGGAGTTGTCCAAATCAAAATCCAAGTATAAATGCGCGCTTTGTCGCGGTGAGAAGGAAGAGAGAATCAAAGGATTTCACAAAAAGTTTTCACAGTATAAAACCATGTGACCGATTGCATTTGTTGCCATAGTAATCACAAGTTTTTAGTTTTCGCACTCTTTGTCTTAGGGTACGTAGGTCTAGCATAGATGGAAGGGAGGCAGTCTGTATGTAAAATATAAATTACTTTCTATCGTTCTTATTAGCTGGCGTCATTTCGTCGTGTTGTCCAATTCTAAAATGACCGTAATTATGGTATTATTACTCGGGCTACCTTGGTTTAGAGCGAGTTGAAATTTGAAAAGTGGGATCGGTTTTCCTCTTGCGTCGCGAGTTTACGAAAATCACACCTGGGCAGCACGAAGTCTTCCAACGAATCGAAATCGTCCCAGGTTCGTTTCTCGCGCGGGTGTCACGAACATAGCATGTTTTCACAGTTTAAGGATATACAGTTGTGTATCTCGCAGGAATTCTTGTCCCACATAGTTATGCGCACGCGCAAAGCAAAAGACCGTGTCATGATTTCTTTTAGTATAGGGAAAGGTAGGAAAATAGTCAATTTTTGTAGTAAAACAACAATTTTGGCGAATATACCCTATACAGGGTGTATCAGAAAAAACTAGAAGATTTTAAAATGTTCAGAAAACTATGATTTTATCAAGATATCTCAAAAATATATTTATGTCTAAGTATTTTAGCATCTTCTGGCTTATCTAACAGTAAAAACTAGCAGAAAAATTAACCTCGAAAAGCGGGAGAACGGTTTGTAAAAGCCTCATTTTTAACCGCTTGTGCAAAGAAAATGAGACGTTGAAAATCCAAGTTCAGTTAAAGAGGTGAAAGTTTGGAATCTTTTGTGCAATATATCGCAATTTCA